GAAAAAAGGGCGGGGAAACCTCTGGTATCTAAACACTAAATGCGATTTTTTTTTCAAACTGACTCAAACTATTATAGGTATTTTTATTATTATTATTTTGTACACAAATAGACCTACATTGTCTTTTTTCTCGGGACTTGGGACCGCACCGGACTTGTTTAACCGGTACCAGATGCTTTTTTACTCCATCTTGGTCCTGGTTCTATCCAGGTCAAATTGGTACTAAAGTGTTCTAACCAGTGATTGGCCAGAGAGGCCCGGATTCTGGCTTGTTGTGGAAAGGTTGATAGGATACGGTTTGTTTAATAATAATGGAAACGCAACCAGGTAGAGTAGAGTAGAGTAGAGTAGAGGAGAGTAGAGTAGAGTAGATCAGAGTAAAGTAGAGTAGAGTAGAGTAGAGTAGATCAGAGTAAAGTAAAGTAAAGTAGAGTAGAGTAGAGTAGATCAGATTAAAGTAGAGTAGAGTAGACTAGAGTAGAGTGGATCAGAGTAAAGTAAAGTAGAGTAGAGTAGAGTAGAGTAAAGTAGAGTAGAGTAGAGTAGATCAGAGTAAAGTAAAGAAGAGTAGAGTATAGTAGAGTAGAGTAGAGTAGATCAGAGTAAAGTAAAGAAGAGTAGAGTAGAGTAGATCAGAGTAAAGTAAAGTAACGTAGAGTAGAGTAGAGTAAAGTAGAGTAGAGTAGAGTAGATCAGAGTAAAGTAAAGAAGAGTAGAGTAGAGTAGAGTAAAGTAGAGTAAAGTAGAGTAGAGTAGATCAGAGTAAAGTAAAGAAGAGTAGAGTAGATCAGAGTAAAGTAAAGTAAAGTAGAGTAGAGTAGAGTAGAGTAGAGTAGAGTAGCGTAGAGTAGATCAGAGTAAAGTAAAGAAGAGTAGAGTAGAGTAGAGTAGAGTAGAGTAGAGTAAAGTAGAGTAGAGTAGAGTAGAGTAGATCAGAGTAGAGTAGAGTAGAGTAGAGTAGAGTAGAGTAGAGTAAAGTAGAGTAGAGTAGAGTAGAGTAGAGTAGATTAGATCAGAGTAAAGTAGAGTAGAGCAGAGCAAAGTAGCGTAAAGTAAAGTAGAGTAGAGTAGAGTAGAGTAAAGTAGAGTAGAGTAGAGTAGATCAGAGTAAAGTAAAGAAGAGTAGAGTATAGTAGAGTAGAGTCGAGTAGATCAGAGTAAAGTAAAGAAGAGTAGAGTAGAGTAGAGTAGATCAGAGTAAAGTAAAGTAGAGTAGAGTAGAGTAGAGTAAAGTAGAGTAGAGTAGAGTAGATCAGAGTAAAGTAAAGAAGAGTAGAGTAGAGTAGAGTAGAGTAGAGTAGAGTAAAGTAGAGTAGAGTAGAGTAGATCAGAGTAGAGTAGAGTAGAGTAGATCAGAGTAAAGTAAAGAAGAGTAGCGTAGAGTAGAGTAGATCAGAGTAAAGTAAAGTAGAGTAGAGTAGAGTAAAGTAGAGTAGAGTAGAGGAGATCAGAGTAAAGTAAAGAAGAGTAGAGTAGAGTAGAGTAAAGTAGAGTAGAGTAGAGTAGAGTAGATCAGAGTAGAGTAGAGTAGAGTAAAGTAGAGTAGAGTAGAGTAGAGTAGAGTAGATTAGATCAGAGTAAAGTAGAGTAGAGTAGAGTAGAGCAGAGCAAAGTAGCGTAAAGTAAAGTAGAGTAGAGTAGAGTAGAGTAAAGTAGAGTAGAGTAGAGTAGATCAGAGTAAAGTAAAGAAGAGTAGAGTATAGTAGAGTAGAGTAGAGTAGATCAGAGTAAAGTAAAGAAGAGTAGAGTAGATCAGAGTAAAGTAAAGTAGAGTAGAGTAGAGTAGAGTAAAGTAGAGTAGAGTAGAGGAGATCAGAGTAAAGTAAAGAAGAGTAGAGTAGAGTAGAGTAGAGTAGAGTAAAGTAGAGTAGAGTAGAGTAGATCAGAGTAGAGTAGAGTAGAGTAGAGTAGAGTAGAGTAAAGTAGAGTAGAGTAGAGTAGATTCGATCAGAGTAAAGTAGAGTAGAGCAGAGCAAAGTAGCGTAAAGTAGAGTAGAGTAGAGTAGATTAGATCAGAGTAAAGCAGAGTAGAGTAGAGTAGAGCAGAGCAAAGTAGCGTAAAGTAAAGTAGAGTAGAGTAGAGTAGATCAGAGTAAAGTAAAGAAGAGTAGAGTATAGTAGAGTAGAGTAGAGTAGATCAGAGTAAAGTAAAGAAGAGTAGAGTAGAGTAGATCAGAGTAAAGTAAAGTAACGTAGAGTAGAGTAGAGTAAAGTAGAGTAGAGTAGAGTAGATCAGAGTAAAGTAAAGAAGAGTAGAGTAGAGTAGAGTAAAGTAGAGTAAAGTAGAGTAGAGTAGAGTAGAGTAGATCAGAGTAGAGTAGAGTAGAGTAGATCAGAGTAAAGTAAAGAAGAGTAGAGTAGAGTAGATCAGAGTAAAGTAAAGTAAAGTAGAGTAGAGTAGAGTAGAGTAGCGTAGAGTAGATCAGAGTAAAGTAAAGAAGAGTAGAGTAGAGTAGAGTAGAGTAAAGTAGAGTAGAGTAGATCAGAGTAGAGTAGAGTAGAGTAGAGTAGATTAGATCAGAGTAAAGTAGAGTAGAGTAGAGCAGAGCAAAGTAGCGTAAAGTAAAGTAGAGTAGAGTAGAGTAGAGTAGATCAGAGTAAAGTAAAGAAGAGTAGAGTATAGTAGAGTAGAGTCGAGTAGATCAGAGTAAAGTAGTAGAAGAGTAGAGTAGAGTAGAGTAGAGTAGAGTAAAGTAAAGTAGAGTAGAGTAGAGTAGAGTAGAGTAAAGTAGAGTAGAGTAGAGTAGATCAGAGTAAAGTAAAGAAGAGTAGAGTAGAGTAGAGTAGAGTAAAGTAGAGTAGAGTAGAGTAGATCAGAGTAGAGTAGAGTAGAGTAGATCAGAGTAAAGTAAAGAAGAGTAGCGTAGAGTAGAGTAGATCAGAGTAAAGTAAAGTAGAGTAGAGTAGAGTAGAGTAAAGTAGAGTAGAGTAGAGGAGATCAGAGTAAAGTAAAGAAGAGTAGAGTAGAGTAGAGTAAAGTAGAGTAGAGTAGAGTAGAGTAGATCAGAGTAGAGTAGAGTAGAGTAGAGTAGAGTAGAGTAGAGTAAAGTAGAGTAGAGTAGAGTAGAGTAGAGTAGATTAGATCAGAGTAAAGTAGAGTAGAGTAGAGTAGAGCAGAGCAAAGTAGCGTAAAGTAAAGTAGAGTAGAGTAGAGTAGAGTAAAGTAGAGTAGAGTAGAGTAGATCAGAGTAAAGTAAAGAAGAGTAGAGTATAGTAGAGTAGAGTCGAGTAGATCAGAGTAAAGTAAAGAAGAGTAGAGTAGAGTAGAGTAGATCAGAGTAAAGTAAAGTAGAGTAGAGTAGAGTAGAGTAAAGTAGAGTAGAGTAGAGTAGATCAGAGTAAAGTAAAGAAGAGTAGAGTATAGTAGAGTAGAGTCGAGTAGATCAGAGTAAAGTAAAGAAGAGTAGAGTAGAGTAGAGTAGATCAGAGTAAAGTAAAGTAGAGTAGAGTAGAGTAGAGTAGAGTAAAGTAGAGTAGAGTAGAGTAGATCAGAGTAAAGTAAAGAAGAGTAGAGTAGAGTAGAGTAGAGTAAAGTAGAGTAGAGTAGAGTAGATCAGAGTAGAGTAGAGTAGAGTAGATCAGAGTAAAGTAAAGAAGAGTAGCGTAGAGTAGAGTAGATCAGAGTAAAGTAAAGTAGAGTAGAGTAGAGTAGAGTAAAGTAGAGTAGAGTAGAGGAGATCAGAGTAAAGTAAAGAAGAGTAGAGTAGAGTAGAGTAAAGTAGAGTAGAGTAGAGTAGAGTAGAGTAGAGTAGAGTAGAGTAGAGTAAAGTAGAGTAGAGTAGAGTAGAGTAGAGTAGATTAGATCAGAGTAAAGTAGAGTAGAGTAGAGTAGAGCAGAGCAAAGTAGCGTAAAGTAAAGTAGAGTAGAGTAGAGTAGAGTAAAGTAGAGTAGAGTAGAGTAGATCAGAGTAAAGTAAAGAAGAGTAGAGTAAAGTAGAGTAGAGTAGAGTAGATCAGAGTAAAGTAAAGAAGAGTAGAGTATAGTATAGTAGAGTAGAGTAGAGTAGATCAGAGTAAAGTAAAGAAGAGTAGAGTAGAGTAGAGTAGATCAGAGTAAAGTAAAGTAGAGTAGAGTAGAGTAAAGTAGAGTAGAGTAGAGTAGATCAGAGTAGAGTAGAGTAGAGTAGAGTAAAGTAGAGTAGAGTAGAGTAGATTCGATCAGAGTAAAGTAGAGTAGAGCAGAGCAAAGTAGCGTAAAGTAGAGTAGAGTAGAGTAGAGTAGATTAGATCAGAGTAAAGCAGAGTAGAGTAGAGTAGAGCAGAGCAAAGTAGCGTAAAGTAAAGTAGAGTAGAGTAGAATAGAGTCGAGTAAAGTACAGTAAATTAAAGTAAAGTAAAGTAGAGTAGAGTAGAGTAGAGTAAAGTAGAATAGAGTAAAGTAGAGTAGAATAGATATGAGTATAGTAGAGTAGGGCTAACAGATACTGGCCTGATTTGACGCCATGTGCGAAGTCTTTTGGCGCCATCTTGTGTTGATTAAATGTCACCATCTTCAACTCTTCCACACATGCGGTCCGTAACCGAACCCAGGGCTTGTATATTAAAATGAGTTAGCACGAAGCTTCGAACAAGCTTCTGAGTACACTTAATAACAGAAAGTATTGTTATTTATGCCGTCATTAACGTTTGTTTATCGTTTAGCCTACGTCTGATCAGAGAAGGCGTGTTCTTGTCTCCTATGGACCTGGAGGAAGTGAGGTTACATCCGAATTCATGCAACACCTCCTTCTCTACACTTTTTTTTGCTTTGAAATTTATATTTTAAAAATATTGTAGCCCAAGGTTTTATCAAATGTAATATAAGTCGATTAATGCCCCTTATAGAAAATATCTTACAAGATTAACGAAGAAAAGACAAGGTTAGGAATTATGTATATTTGATGAAATCGTATGCAACCTCAGGGGGAAAAACAGAACAGACGCAAGAAGAAACGAACTTCTTCAAATTGGAATTCTGGAAAAAACTTGGGATAGTTTAAGTCACTGCATGCACTGGCGACATGGGAGGTAAATAACGGGGACACTGTGAATGTTTAGCTAACTATGTGGAGCCGTTTGTTCTTACGCCTAGCTTGCATGCATGGTTTTGCCCTAAAGTAAAGCAGAACCTCTAGTTGCACTTCTCTGGGATTTGATATTGATCTGATCCTTCGAATTGATCCAAAATGGAACGTTTAAGGTTCATGAAATGTGTACCAAGGATTAGTTAACATTTTGGTGAAGTTCTAGAACACATATGGCTTTGTTGCGCATGAAAAAACGCACGCTAATCTGTTATCATTTTTTTCACTTTTGAACAATAATAATAATAATAATAGATTGGTGTTATATATTATTCATTCGTTCCATTCACGGTGGAGATAAAATACTACTGTTGCCACAGCTGCCCTGGGGCACACTGACATGAGCGAGGCAATCAGTCTGCGTCATTGGCCCCTCCCACCACCACCAACCATTCATTCACACACACACCAGACTCATCCAATGTGGGTGAAGGGTCTTGCCTAAGAACACAACAAAAACTTGGCACTTTATAGTCACAGCTGCTGTTCCCAGAGGTCTCCCATCACAGTATTAACCAGGTTCTGTTCTGCTTAGGTCTGACAGGATCTGGCTTATCACATACAGTAAAGTGCTACTTGTCCTAAATCTTTTAAAATTTTCATGTAATAATTATCATGTCATGGCTAAAACTACAGGTGAAAGCCAGATCCTGTCTGACCTCGAGCAAAGTTAAGCAGGGCAGGGCCTGGTTAGTACTGTGATGGGAGACCTCTGGGAACACCAGGTGCCACAGTGGGGCGGCTGTTATTGACACATTGGCTAGAATGAGTCTGGTGTGTGTGTGAATGGTTAGAAGAGCTGATGACACAGACTGGTTGCCTCGCTTCTGTCAGTGTGCCCCAGGGCAGCTGTGGCTATAGAACTAGTTTTTCGCCTCTATGTATGGAGTTATTATCATTATTATTATTATTATTAGTATGTAACAGCTAGATAGTTACTTGGGGTTTTATTCTCTATTGCTTTTTACAATAGGTCTGGCATGCGCCTCCTGTACTGGTGAGAGGACAAGTGCCCAAAAAATAACAATTGTAAACCGCTTTGTGACTCTGGTCTGTGAAAGGCGGTATATAAATAAAACTTACTTACTTAGTGTGTAAGTTCCACTGCATTAAAATCAGTGAGCGATTTTAGTCATTGTAATGTTTTGTATTTTCCAGTAACAGCAGCACGATATCAGTCAAACAGAAATGGTTTTGTTGTTTGGCTTTTTGCAGACGCTGTCATCACTGGTGCGGACCATGGGTTGACAGATACTCCTCTGGTGACGGTGTCTTTCCAGAGGGACCATCAGAGGAAGCTTAAGTTTTTGGAGGCAGAGCCCAAAGCCCTGGGGGTGGGTCTCTGTGTATTTATGCTGATGTCTCCTTTATTATTATTATTCTACTTTAATCCAGGGCGGTCAGGGCATGAAAAGAACTCTGATAAAAGCACATGGAAAAATATATCTTAATTTGAGCACCTTTTGACTGAGATTCAAAACAAGATTTGCCATTGGGACAGAGCAAAATGATCTCGTTTTTAAAAAATACAGAAATGTCTCTCTTGGAATGAGAAAATAAAACAACAGTTCTTGAAATAAAAATAAATGGTCCCATTGGCAAATCTTGTTTTAACACAGTCAGAATGTACTTTTTACCTCATATTTTATCACTTTTTCTGTCATTTGTTGCATGGTTACATTTAAGGCCTTGGGTTAGGGTCTTTATAGCAGTGGATGGATCTAAAACCAACTCCTCTGTTTTGACGAGAGAACTATGTTGCTACTTGGTTAAAATCTCAAAAAGGTTGATAGTTTGCATATTATCATTACTATATTCATTGGACACATATTAAGAAATCATTATTATTATACAGTATATTATTTATTATTTCTCTAACTAATCTCATCTCTAAACACTGCCATCATCCAGAACTCTGAAACCCGCCTTCTCAGCCACACCCGGTCCAGAGAACACATCACCCCTGTCCTCAAACCACTCAACTGGCTCCTGTTCAATATCGCATCCAAGACCAGACTCCTGACCCCGCCCCCTACCTCACTCCCGTCACCCGCCTCACTCCCGTCACCCGCCTCACTCCCGTCACCCGCCTCACTCCCATCACCCACACTTAACTTGGACTATCCTGGGTGAATATTATAGATTTCGGGTCACTCTTTTTAACAGTAGCTTCTCTGTTCTCGTCCAGGTCACCCAAATCTGTCTGATCGTCTTCCATGCAAGCTACGTGGCCATGTTTTATGCCCAAGATCTGAACAGAGGGGCCCTGGAGTTGCCCTCCTTCATTTCATGTTTCTTTGTACGTATCGTGTTGTACGTATCGTGTTGTACGTATCGTGTTGTACGTATCGTGTTGTACGTATCGTGTTGTACGTATCGTGTTGTACGTATCGTGTTGTACGTATCGTGTTGTACGTATCGTGTTGTACGTATCGTGTTGTACGTATCGCTTTATCTCACATTTCTCTTTTATACGACGTGTGGTTAAAGTGAAATTAATGTTCCCGTTGCAGGTTCTGGTCGCTGGGAGTGTGGCTATAGCAGCGAAAAATCTCCATCTTCCAACGGTACGTTTGCAGAACAAGGAAAACTGAACACGTCAGCACAAAATACAGATTCTTTTCCTCTTGCAGTATAAGGAAGTAATGCAGTCATTCAGTAAATATGAAGAAAACATATTTTTACTCATAGGGAAAATGTAACCCTTCAAAATAACATTGATTGAAAGTAGACAAATAATACCCTAAATCTTGGTCTAAAGAGTCTAAACTTTCAGGACCCAGGACAAGTTAAAGGTAAAGGAGGATTTAGCCAAATTTGAGGAAAGAACCGCAAGTACGTAAATTATATCTCACGTTGCAAGTTGTCGAAGATTGAATATACATTTTACAATAAGAAAAAAAAATAACTAAATTGTGTCTATTAAGGATTTTAGTGCTAAATAATGCCGGACCGAAAGGGGTTCAGTCTGAAGTCAAGACGCCCTATTACAACTGTGACATATGTCCAAAAACACATTATACAGATTCTCATAAACCAACAATAACACGTAGCATAGAACTTAAACTTCACAATCTAATTATGTGTTCTATACTTCTCCATAATATATCACTTTCACAGTGACTTTAACCAACCATAAATTTTTCATTAATTAAAAAAACAGAACGCCTCAGTATATCCATTATATATGATCCATTATAAACACCTTGTTAAAAGAAATGTAATGTTTTATGTGTTTGTTCAGGTCAGGGCTTGTTTCTTCTTGGAGATCTTAGCTGCTGCTGCGTCCATCGGCAACTTCTCCCTCATCTTGATTCAGATGGAAGACACTTATTCTTGTTATTACTACGATTCAGAAAACCAGGCCAAGAAGAACTGTTTCAACGCACAGGTACGAGTTTCTGACATGGGACACTACAGAAAACCTCGTTCTACAGCCTCAGTCTTGGGTCTTCAGCTTGAATACTGGATCGACAGCCTGTCCGTCGGTGGCACAGATCCCTCTCTCATTTCGGGCCTCCCCGGGGTTTTTGGGAGTAAATTCTTGTCAATGGGTCTTAAGACAGTGATGATTCAGAACATTTATGATATTTACAAACATTAATAGACAGTGGTAATCTCTCCCTACTCCACTGTGGAGGTACTGAATGGAATCCAAAGTAAGTGTGTGTGTGTGTGTGCGTCCGTCCACAGGCCGCTCACACACATCTGTTGGGAGTTTTGCTGCTCGCCAACATAACGGTCCTCGCCATCGCAGTCTCTCTGATCATTTATGCCTGTAAGGTGATCAACTGCTGCTCTCCTGCTCCCAAAGTGGTACGACACACACACACACACAGAGACCAAGACAAACACAAAGAAACAGTGACACAGAGATGGAGACAGATAGACACACACACAGAGCCAGACAGACATACAGAGACTGACACACACACACACACACACACACAAAGACTGACACAGAGAGACCAAGACAGAAACACAAAGAGACTGACACAGAGAGGGAGACAGAGAGACACACATACAGAGCCAGAAAAAGACACACAGACAGACGTCATTTTAATACATTAAGATTCAGAACATCCTCAACTTAAACCCAACTTGTTTGCAGCCGGTGATCACAATCCAAGCTCCAGCAGCAGCAGAATGACGACTGGAAGAGAAACGGAGAAATGACCTCGCACTTGTAGATACATTAAAGATTTAGTTATTGTTTTCAATTATTCAAATCTGTTTTTTATAGCAGATGTACCATTAAAAAGACGGTATCCTCTTAAATAAGACATGACTGGGGTTTTTGTCCTGAGTCACAATACTGCATCAGTTTGTTAATCAGGCAATTTTAATTTTTGTTTACTTATTGAGCTTTTTCTAATCTAAAAAAATCCTTCTTTTGCAATAATAAATGTATTATCCCGCTATGTTACTTGTAAGTTGTTATATATCATTTAAGTAAAAGGTCACGGTGCAGTTTGGCTGAAAACCTGGAAAGAGTTGTGTGTATAGAATAAAACGCAGGGAATGAATCTCAAATGACTTTTTATTAATATTCATGGCACAAAAACATCAACACTGTTCCCTGTTAAATGACAGAACCACGTCGTCCGACCCCAAAAAAGTCACTCCCTGTGTTTATGTTTGTGAAGCCTAAAAGAGGATTGGGACTGAAAAGACTAGATTCATGTAGGCTTTGTGTACCCTAGTAACATGCTCATTCATTCACTCAGGTCCAAACTAGAACCAGGAAGTACCATCGCACTAGTCCTGGTCTCAGGTCTCTGTACCTGTGACTCAGATTTCATGACACCTTGAAGCAACTGTGGTTAAAGTTCAAACTCATCATTCAACAATATGCACAAGCCAGTACTTTTCCATTGTTTTAGTTATCTCAAGGTTGAAGCTACAAGCACACTGTGGCAAACGCTGATTGGAGGACTCCATTCCTCCATGCTGTATATTACTTGCAGTCGAACATCTTTTGTTCGTGTTCATGCTATCATTGACAATAAAACATGTCTTCTGTCTGAATTAAAGACACGATCCCAGACTTAGTCCATCTTCTTCAAGACTTTAAAGCTGCTGTTTACAAGTCTCTCCATGGCCTCGCACCTAAGTACATCAGTGACATGTTAGTGCCATATGGACTCTGAGGAGCACAGGGACTGGCCTCCTGCTGGTCCCAGAGTCAGGACTAACTGTGTGATGGCAGCAGGTTAAAACAGTTCAGTTTAGCTGTGTATACAATTGAAGATATTACGGATATTAATGCCCTTTTTCTCATGTTTTGTTCAGCACTGAGTCGCCTTTGTGTATGCACTGTGCTATACAGATAAACTTGCCTCGCCTCAGTCTGAAAGTGGAGGAGGACTGACCATTATTGGGACGTGTACAAGTCTCTGGTGTGAGCCTTTTTTGGGGTCAGACTTAGTTACATTGGCTTAAAAACACATGTGCAGTTTGACAGAGTTAAAAATACCTGATCCTGGATGTGATATAAATAAACTGTTGGAGAAAACCATCATTAACAGCCCTTGTTTTTGTACTTACCTGCAGATTCAGACTTCCCTTTACTCTGGGCCTGTTAACCCGCTTTAAACTATGGGCGGCGTGTGACAAACTTAAGTGATGATTAATGGAAAGAACTCTAGAGAAGAGGACGGCTCGACAAAACGCTTATAGATTTAGAAATCACATGTTTACTGAAGTTAACAGAATATCTAAGCATTTAAGTTACGTTGTCAGGATACAAAATGGGATGCAGTTAGCGGGAACGACATATTAACGCGTTTACAACCAGACGGAGCGGCTTTGATCGTGCAGAATCATTGTCAGTATTCCATGGAACGCTTGGGGTTTACACAATAGACACTAGCTACATTAAGAAATAAAATCATGAGACAAGTGGGAGGATTCTAAGACAACGACGAGGAGGGGGGGAAACAAGTTCTTGGGTAAAATAATAACGTCCACAATTCACTTCCTGTATACGTCAGCGGTTACGCGCGGCGACGCAGAAACTGGTCGCCTACATCAAGGGGACGAGCGCCGACGCAGTCGAGGCAATCCTGGAAGAAAGAGGAAACCACAGAGAGGTGTGAATGGTGCAGACAGAGCGAGGACCAGGACGAGACCATTTACCCTCACAAACTACACTGTACAGATTAGAGGTTGGAACTGGTAAGAATGTGACGATTCTACAGTATCGCGATATTTGGGACATACTATTGCGATTATTAACATATTGTGATACAGTAAGTATTGTGATTCAATTCAGTGATATATTGAGATTCATGTCCTTCATTATTCAAAGGCAAAAGTGGAGATAAATAAGATTCCTTAAGTCAAATGTCACATGTATTATGGTCTGAAGTGCAGAAACTGCAGGAGGGAAGTGTTAAAACTAACAACATTCAGGACAAAGGACCTTATTACAGACAAGACATCATTATTTTCACATAAAGGCGAGTTCTCAACACTGAAATTAACAGAATAAAGTCTAAGTCTAAATATTTAATTGAATATCGCAATGCTCTACTGTATCAATATAATTGCGTGCACCAAATATCGCGATACTGAACAGAATCGTCTTTTTTCCCACAACTTGTGCAGATGTTTAGAAAAGTTATCGCTTATTTCACATATGACGTATATTTATATAAAAATATTAAAAACGCAATATTAATAATAAAAACACTTTATGAGAACGCTTTGGAGCTGGTCCCAGGCTAAACACGCAAACGCAGGCCTCACCTTGTGTTAATAAGCGTATCGAGGAGCGGGAGGCGGAGGTATGTCGCCGTAGGGGTCCCTGCCGTATCCGGGGGCGACACGAGAGCGCTCATAGCCGTAGCCGTTAGATGCAGGTGGGAGGGGGGCGGCGGGCGGGCGTCTGATGGGGCTACGGTCTCTGGCGTAGTACGACGGCGGCGGGGGAGGCGGCGGCAGAGGCTGCCGCTCGTACGGGTCCCGTGCGATGGGAGCGGGAGGCGGCGGGAGGGCGGCTCGCTGGTCGGCGTACGAGGCGGCGTACGGACGCGCCCTGTACTTCTCATAGTAATCGACTACGCTGCCGTACCTATCCCTCTCGCCTTCGTACGGACGCTCGGCGTAAAGGGGCCGTCTGGGGGGAGGGGGCGGCAGGGGGGGAGGGGGGTGGTAACCTGGGGGGGCATAGCGGCCTCGCATGTAGCTGGGAGGGGGCAGCTCTGGCCTCTCTGGGTAACGAGAGGGGCCCCAGTAATCAGGGGGAGGAGGGGGCGGGAAGTCTTCGGGGCCTTCGTTCCGAGGCCGACTTTTAGAAACCTGCACATGGATGCGTTTGCCTGAAAACAACATACAAGAAGTAAGACTCACAGCTGCTTAATAACTGCAGCTACATAACTATATCCTTAACATGTTGACTCTTCTGTATATTTAAACATTATGAGTGATTCTATCTGTGCCAAATGTGACAAATGGACATTTCTCCAGTGTGAGATCAATAGTTTATCTTATCTTACACGTCAGAATCATAAAATACTACTGTGCACGTCAGCATCATATGATACTACTGTACATGTTAGCATCATGTAGGTATGGGCTAAAACTGACTGAGTAAAGTGGACACATGTGGTCCCATAACACACATTCTAACATAGAAAACTATGGCACAGATGCATGACATGTGAGGTACAGTGACCAGTATTTTAACATATTACACACATATTCCTTCAACTTTACCTTGGAATTCTGAGCTATCCAGGTCCTTGAGTGCATCCATTGCCTCGTCATAGTTGGGCATATGTACGAAAGCAAAGTTTTTGACAACGGCACACTCTGAAACGGTACCGTACTCCTCAAACATGGCCAGCAGCTCACTGTCACAGCCCTTCTCTACATTGGCCACGTGTAGTTTGACAGGGCCCTGGTTCTTGCTGTGGCTGGCCTCCACGTTCATGGGCGTGCCGTGGAGCATGTGATGGTGCAGGTTCTTGATGGCTTTAACGGCAGCTTTGCGGTCGTCCATGTGAACAAAGGCAAAGTTCTTGATGATGGAACACTCCATGACGCTGCCATACTGCTCGAACAGTTCTTTCAGCTCCTCCTGCGTGGCCTCTGTGGACAGGTTTCCCACAAAGATCTTCACCATGTTGATCTGTTAGCTGAAAGAACAGAAACCCATCATGCCTTGGTTTAGTTACAGACACCACATTCAAAATGACTCTAAATAGGGCAAGATTCTCAACATTTTAAATAGGTGAACTTTGGCTGTGGAAGAAAGTAGAATCATGTATTTTTTACTGGTGAAATTATTGAGAAATGAGACAGAGACAGCAGCGATCTAACACAAAAACAACATTTTTATTTAGCTAGAGTATGTTTTGAATCCTAATGTGTTCATATGTGTATCTGTCTTTCTCTATGTGTCTGTCTCTCTTCTAGTTCTTCCAGGTAGAACAAAAGAATACAAAGCTTTTTATATGACGTGAATCAATGTGCATAAGAACAGAGACATCATTCCCTGAGATATTAATGAAGCCAATGCTTAATATATTGTAATGCTAGTAACGTGGATCAGAACAAAAAAAATGTAGTTCTAGCAATACAAATACAACCCGATTCCTTGAGTATTCTTTACGTTTGTCCAAGGTCCACAATCTCCCATCCTTACACTTTAAAGGCCTTGGATTTGGCTTGGGGCAAATTAAAGAATAGAAAAAAAAACCATAAATAATACGTAGGAATAGCTTTGTATAAGAAGGGTGAAGGGGACAACTGTTAATCATTTTTACCATCATAAACAGCCCACTCAGAAAGGCTTAGCGAAACCAAAATGGCCGCGGTTCATTGAACAATTAAAACGCATTAATACAATAGGCTGCAGACACACACGGCTATGTTTACATTATAACAAAAGAAAATACTCGTTGCTTCAAAGACCAGTAGTAATATATCAAAGTACACAATGGGAGCAATGCACGATGATATTGAAAGTGATCGGGTCTATCCGGGGGCAGACGGATAGCGTTAATAAATGTAAATAAGTGTTAGCTAGCGTTAGCCACACGTGCAATCCATGCGACACACGCTGTAGTTTAGCCTCATAATGACATATTCAAAATACATGTGGTTACCTACTTGAACCAGTAACAAAGGAGATTTATTTCTTCCTCTTTCGTGATTCACCGGCTTCTCTGCTCTTTTGTGTAGACTGAAACCCTACTCCAGCGCGTCTATCCGGTCACAGCTGTTGTTACTACGCCCCCTACTGGTCACACACCATGGAGGATAATTAAACCCCTGGTGATATCCTTGAGTAAAATTGACTCATCAGTGTTCACAAAATGCCCTAAATATTGTTTTTTTCGTGCTGAATTTTAATGACTTCTTATAACTTCACAAGTCGTGGGCCATTTTAGCATTTTGCACCCTAAATTGGCGTTTTTCTTCTACTTTTTAGTCATTGTGGCGGGTCATTTCGGCCAGAGGATATAGCACATAGGATAAGATAATATAGAGATCCTTTATTCGTTCCACAGTGGGGAAATTTCAGCATTGCATCAAGAGTTACAGACAGTAGAAATGAGGAGCACACAGCACAGGAAAAAAAAAAAAAATGTATACTAAAATAAAATACAATGTGCACCATAGCACAGCGGTGGGCAACTATTTTCTCCTTGGGGCCACATTGAGATATTGGTACGTTACGGAGGGCAGGACTCGGTTTCTCGTGGTTACCCTTTAATTATAATACGGAACAACATATTTGAGTGTGGGCTACAAACGTGTGTATTTGATAAACAAAAACATGTAAGAATGTAAAGTGTGTTAGGTGATATTTTGCATCTGCAGCTACAATTGTGTGGACCTTTTACAATATGGGTCTTACTGTGAATGAAGTTATTTGATTAAAGATGGATTATATTTGTATCCGTCTTCAGTTTTCAATTCTTGCTTGGATTGAAACACAACTGGACTAAATCTAGAGAAGGCTCAGTGCTGTGAACAGATGAATGGTTTGTTGCCATTGTCACACTCATGAAGCTACAAAGCTTCATTGGATATTGACTCTTATTCGTTTAAATAGAGGGAGACAGTATGAAGTACAAATAAATAAATAAAGTTTGCGGATAGAAAAAATGGACTCAAGAAGGCTCGGTACTGTGGACAGATGAATGTTTTTGTCATTGTACTCATAAACCTTATCCTCTTTGGTTATTGACTCCCATTCATTTAAATAGAAGACAGTATGCGATAAGAAAATGTCCAAGGACCATCCAGAATTTTGAATCGGGCCGTATGTGGTCCCTAAACCGCACTTTTCCCAGGTTAGAATAAAAACCACTACAATGCGTCAATATTCAGGCATAAACAAGAACTACAACAAGTCAAGGAACTTCTATCACATGGAAGGAGTTTGGAGTAGAGCTGCTGCTTCTACACGTCGAGAGAGGAACCAGTTGAGGTGGCTCTGGCATCTGTTTGGGACGCCTCCTTTTGTCTCTCAGCTGGACAGTTTAGTCTGGGCTAGACTGCTTCCCCCCACAACCCGGCAACGGATAAAGTGGAAGATAATGGATGGATGGATAAAAATAATGAACTATAATAACACCTTTCATTTTCTCTGCTTTTTTGCTGCAAATTAAGGACCACTTTTGGAAAAGACCAACGTTTATCTACTTTCTTGTGTCATTACTTGGAAATTTTTACTTTATCTAAACAGCACAAAAACACATTCCTCTTCAAGTTAATGGATAACAGTCGCTTCTCAGCCGGTTAGTGTTACATCACTTGTGGGGAAACTCCGCTGACAAAATGCTGCGTTCAGGGCCCACTCGTAAAAAAAACTACAGCAAACAGAAACAGAAAGAAACGAAAAAAAAAAACACGCAATAATATACAGCAAAAATACAACATTTAAACTCGACCTCCTGCGATTTAAAACGTAGATTTACGAATATACGTTTTTTTATGGATTTATTTACAAACAAGTGAAGCCAGTGAAGCGACCCAGCTCTGAGAAAGGCGCTATAAACAATAAATAATGATGATTCTGTGTTGTAATTTCCCAGCTTAAGTGAAAGCATAGATCTCGTGAGGCTGACGAAAGTGGGTTGAGCCGGAGTCATTTTTACAGTCTACCCCCAAAGACAGTTTCTTCCAACAACACAACGCCGCTATCATTCTGCAGAGACACACAACGGGCTATAATCACACCCCAGCACCACAAACTTTACTTGCAGGTAAGGCAATGAGTATAGATCGTTTTTCTTTCATTTAAAACGTGGAAATCTTAACCCTAAAGTATTTTGTATGTCTCAAATGTGCTGTAGAAGTTACGTTTTGTGACTAAATAATCAGAGCATGTTGAATTCATCTTATTATAAAACATTGGAAGTCCTAATATTTTGGTTTGAGAGCTGATTGGTCCTTTCTTTTTCACTTTTTCTGTACGGAAAAGCAGGGCAAGATATATGACATGGATGTGTAAACTAGAGGAATGAAACAGGGCCTGGCCTCCTAAACATGGAGAGGCAGCGTTTCAGAATCATTAATCTTCCTGAAAATGTGAGACAGGCTTCTTCTTCCTATGATCGTTTCTATCTTGTTTTTGTTTTCGAGTTGCTTTTTGTATAAACTGTGCTATATTTGGGGCGGCAGTAGCTCAGTTGGTAGTGCATTGGCATTTGAGTCTGAAGGTTATGGGTTTGAGACTTTCTCCACTGACTCCCACTGATGTCTGCTGTCGTTGTGTCCTTGGGCAAGATACTTAACCTTTGGGAACACCGGCTGTAAAGTAACAAACTGCCTTTGTGTCCTTAGGCAAGACACTTCACCCACATTGCCTAGAATAAGATTGGTTGCCTCGCTTCTGTCAGTGTTCCCCAGGGCAGCTATGGCTTCCGTAGTAATTTATCACCACTGTGTTTTATGTGAAGTGTCTGAGTGTCCAAAAAAGCTGTGTAAAACCAATGCATTATTATTAAAAATTAAAAAAAATGCGTGGTTTGACGGTTTGGTCTCCTTCTGCACAACAAACTAATTACTTTTTTAAATCTCGTGGCAGCTACTCTGAGGTCGACTTCTTCCCATCAAGTCGGGACATCATGAGCGTGTCCCAGACATTGGAGACCGAGGAGGACTTTCTCACTTGTCTCCAGATCAAGCTGTTTCACCCACAGCAACGCTCAGGTGGGATGTTCGGCCTCCTCCCGTTGGGCAGAAGACTCAAGCAGGACGCAGACGACCCTCTCCGGTTGGGACGAGACGGCATGTCCTGTGCTTTGGCCCTCGTGGATCTCAAGGCGTCTCGCAAGCAGCTGTCTCTCCAAGCGTACCACACTCCCCAGAAGCAAGACATGTACTTTTCCATCCAGAACCTGAGCAAGAAGGGCCGCTTGATTGTGAATGGAGTCGCCCTGGAATATTTGGAGAAGTTGGATCTGCCGGATAAGGCCTTGGTCCGGTTTGGAGAGTACGAGATGCTGCTTGTGAGGGAGGCTGGCGAAGCTAAGGGCAGTTTTGAGGTCGAACTAAATGTGTTGGATCGGTCTCCTTTTACAGAGACGTGTGTGTGTATCCCAGTGAAAACCCCAGTTCTGGATACTTGTTCAGGATATATGGATGGTCTCTGCTCCCATGAGCCTTTGGAGTTAGATGAGACAATGTCATATAAAATTTAGTGGTAATAATGGTGTTATTTTTTGACTGTTACATTTTTATACAAGTCTTGTGATGCTTTAAACTATATTCATTTGTAAGTTTCAACACTCTAAAGTCCTATGATCCATTTCAAAATTCAGTATTGTTAATAAATATAAAAAATATATATTTTGTTATTCCCTTGTTTTACATAGTATAACCTGCATTTAACATGTTTGCACATTTCGTTCTTTTGCACTATCTTGAGTGATTATATCCAGGCCAGATGTGACATGTAAATTTCTCCTGTGTGAAATCAATAAAGTATCTTTTATCTGCCAGGTGATTTGCAACAAAACACCCATTTCAGACATTGTCACTACTGTATTTAGACAATACCACCTGGACTTTGTAGATTTTAAATTAAAATTTCATTCATTCATTCTCTCAATACAAGAGAGAGACCAGAGAGACTGGGCAAGACCAGAGATAGACTGGTAAAACAGTGAACTAAAAGTAGACAGATACATGACCATACATTTATCAAGCATTCATTCATTGAGAGTGCATTAGGACAATTTGACAGAAGCGAGGCACCCTGTTTGTGCCATCAGCCCCTCCGACCACCATTAACACCATTTACACCAGACTCATTCTAAATGTGGGTGTCAAGCGTCTTGCCAAAAGGATACAGCCAGTTTGGCACTTTACAGCCGCCCCACCTGGTGTTCCCAGAGGTCTCCCATCACAGCACTAACCAGGCCCTGTACTGCTAAGCTTTAGCGGTCTGACAGGATCTAGCTTTCACCCGTAGATATGGCCATACTTTTTCTTTCATTCATATATCTATGAAATTTATTCATTAAATGTTTTATATTAAATGTCAGTGAGGTCGAGTTTAGTGGAAAAACATGGACAGTCTTGACATGTTCTTTCATATCTCACTGGAGAGGGGAAGAGACCAGGACCAAGAGTGATATATGGGGCAACAGATGACACCTACAGATACTCCCCTTTTTCACATTATCAGTCAGAGCAGAAAAAGTCAGGGAAAGAAGCTTAAAGTATTTAATTGTTGTATTAGTATTTAATTGTAATATGTTCAGTCTTTTTGTCAAATTTTTAATCATGCTACAAAAACTTCATTATCAGTGTCAAAAAATGAGACAGCGTCTGGGAACAATTGACCTGGCGTTTATCAACAGGTTTTCCGGACAGTGCGAGATAACATCGTTTTATCATAACACACGTCATGACAGAGGAATGAGAGATACACATGACCAACCAAATCTGATCCCTTGAAATGATTTTTATTGAGAGGCGAGTCAGGTCCTCACCCACGATATAAAACTTTTACGGTGACCAGTCTTTTAATGGCCTTGTTTTGGGAAGGGGAACCAATCCGGAACTATTATTAAAAAAATGTTTTCTTAACTTACCTGCACATTAACGAGAACAATAAAGGAATAAAGGATGTACTTTTCTGTCTATTTGGCATTTGTTATGGAAGGAACAATTCTAACTCTGACTAAACTAAGGTTTGAAAGAGCAGCTGTATAATTAATCATCGTTATTCATGGAGACACTTAAGATCCACATCAGTATTTTCAATATACAAAATAAATCTCAGTCTGTGGTTACCTTGTTGGCAGGGAATATTAAGTTCATTTCATGATTTAACAATAAAAACGGTAAAAAGAAATATTAAATAGAAGCCTAAATTGTATGATCAATGGTGAAGTTAGGCTGAATGTTTTCTCTCTAGATAACGACACCTCGCAAGCACAAACGTCTTCCTGTCGATGGTTCCTCTTTCAGTCCCAGCCATTTCATTTCTGTGAAAGAGGATGACTGTTTTACTAAAGAAAATATATTAATCACAAAACCATCGAGACAAACCTCAGGATAAAAACCATGATCCAGAGGTCAGGCTCCACACATGCCGCCAGCATCTAACAGATCAAACATCTACAGATCTGTGGAGAGAGAGCCATGAGTCCTCACTCTCACAACATTCAGATCACACAACAGAAAATCTACCTTCTGCGGTGAAGATACATCCGTCTTCGAGGAGCACTTACCATCAGCCGCCGTCTACTGCAGTTTAGTCTAAAAACCTACAAGAAGCACAAATACTAAGCATCCTGACGCTGTGGAACGCGAAGGACGGGCTCAGTCATGTTCACAAAACCAGTTTAGTTTAAATCAAGTCCTCATGAAGAAGAACTACAAGATCAGGTGTTGAATTTTACGAGTGCAAGTGTTTAAGTTAATACTAGCATTGAGAAGTTTTACCCCATCTGCCGTCACTGCACTCATTTAAAATAAGTTAGCTTGAGGCTGGTAACAAAACCACAGTGGATTAAAAATATAGGGTTCTTATTTTTTCTGATACAGTAAAATCAACACATTTAAATAAAGCGATTTATTGCCCCGCCAAGGGGTATTGTGATCGCCTCCGCATATCTGACTGAACAGGATTGCGCAAAAACGTTCAATCCGTGGTATTGGCGGGGTATGCGCTCTCCGGGTGCAGAATATTTAGGTCTCTGTTGGGAGAATTAGCGTAAATAGTACTAAGGTTCTATAACGAAGGCTGAGAGAAAGTAGTTAGATTGAGAGGCATGTTTTTTTGATAGGATTTGTTTATTTAAAAATGGAAAACAGAAAATAAAATCAACTGCCAAAATATGAATCCTTCACAAAACAAAACCAAGTAGATCCTTGTTCACTGTTTGAGTCTATTTTAGAGGTTTACAAAAAGGTTAAATGGGAAATATAATTTCCTTAGAAATAACTTGAGTCAGTTTCCTTAAGAGTAAAATGTGAGAGTTTAGAACGCTCATTACAAGCGTGAATATTTCTGAACCTGAAGAATTTAAACAATAAAAAGAAGGAACGGCGCTGTCCGCAATTCAGAATCTTCCAGCAAGTCTCAGGCGAACGCAACGCAATCCGCCAGACCATTTACGCTTCGAGCAGCGGCGGACGACGGTCTTGTCATATTCTAAACCTGAAAGAGAGACACCACATGTCAGGAGCGCGTTCTACTCAGACGCGCAAGCCTCAGGGTTAAGCAGAACAATCACACTTCAGCAGCAGCTCAAGGTTTAGTGCTAGAGAGTTGCAGATTGTGGGGAAACCACTACTCGAGTAGTGAGTAAAGTGTAGTCAGATTACATTTCTCACCTTAGATTACTCTAATAGGCGTATCGAGGCGGCGGCGGCAGTCTCTCTGCATACCGCGGGGCGCCGTACCCGCCTCTGGAGGCCGGGGACAAGCGAGAGCGCTCGTAGGAGTAGCCGTTACCGGCAGGAGGAGGTGGCGGCGGCGCCCGCCGCAGAGGGCTCCTGTCTCGGGTCAAGTACGATGGCGGGGGAGGAAGTGAGCGGCGCTCGTACGGGTCGAGGCCCAGGCGCTGAGCCAGAGCAGAGGAGGGCGGCGGCGGAGGAGGTATGGCGCTCGAGTGGTGGTCATCGTACGGCGAGGAGGCGTAGGAGCGTGCTCTGTATTTCTCATAGTAATCGACCATCCCAGCGTAGCGGTCGGGATACGGCGCACGGCGTGGAGGAGGCGGTGGCATTGGAGGCGGTGGAGCGTACGCGGACATACGGCTAGTGTAGGCCTCGTGCCGGTCGTCATAACGAGGAGGATAACCACCCCTCGCAGGCGGAGGCTCATAGTACTCCTCCTGGTGCGCTGCTCTTGGTCTACTGTTAGAGACCTGAACATGAATGCGCTTTCCTGAGAAAGAGATATGTTCATGGTGAGGTTCTCATGTCACTTTGGGTCCATTTAATCATCTAGAAAGTCATTGTCAATGTACCACTGTACATCATGTTTGGATCCCTCCCCCTTACATCAACAATCCTTACCTTGAAACTCAGAGTTGTCCAGAGCCTCCAGAGCATCCATGGCCTCGTCAGAGTTGGGCATGTGGACAAAGGCAAAGGTTTTGACGATAGCGCATTCAGAGACAGTGCCATACTCTTCAAACAGCTCCTGCAGCTCCTTCTCCTGGCCCCTCTCCACGTTGGTCACATGGAGTTTCATGGGGCCCTGGTTCTTTCCCCGGCTTGGCTCCACATTGATGGGTCTCCCGTTGAGCTGGTAGTGGTGGAGCTCTCTGATGGCCTTCGTTGCAGACTTGCGGTCATCCATGTGAACGAAGGCAAAATTAGTAAACTTTGCGCATTCTGTCACCGTTCCATAAGGAGTGAAGAGCGCCTCAATCTCTTCTTTCTGAGTTTCTTGGGCGACGTTTCCGATGAATATTTTAACCATGGTTGCAGTGCAGCGCCTGTGAGAGATAGATAAAAGTTAAAGTTGGCACGGTGTTCAGCAACAACGGAACAAGGAAGCAGACCGAAAGCTAGCGGCGAAACCAAGGCGTTTGCAAGGCCCCAAACTCGAGTCAAGAAGATATACACCATGTATGTATAAATATATATATAAAACAATATCATCATCGTAATTAACCCAAACAAGTTAAAACAACAATGTTAAATGCAAACAAAAAGGGTACTTTATCGTACTGGCGCAACGTCATGGTTGTTAGCTTTATGCTAACAGTTAGCATAACCGAGTATTAGCTTTATGTGAGCGAGTCGCGCGAAATATCTGCTTAAACATACAACTTAATACACCCAAACACTCTACACAAAACAAAAACCCACTGTAGAGCAAATAACAAACACCAACCAGCAGAGAACTGCTTCAGGATACAGATGAAACCAACGAAACTTCGACGGAGAGTTCTCTGGGCCAGAGTCTCAGGAAGAGCCGCCCACACCGGAACTGACACCGGTAGTGACTGAGAAATATGTTTTTTGCGAAAGATCCATGGAGAGAATGGTCTGAGTCTAGCCATTTACAGTCTATGGTCTAGCCTTAGGGTTACATTCATGATTGATAGATTTATTATATGGTTTACCATTGCAACGAATTCATGTTTATGTGTATTTTTATTTCACAATGGGATAGGTGTATTTCATCATTAGATCTCGTACGTCTTGTAAAAGCAAACATCATCCTTGAGAGGGAGATGTAAGCCACATAATATATTTAACCATGAAGTATTAAAGCTGGGCCACCCAATTTTCACTGTATACAATTACATGTATGACCCATAGACTGTATATAAGTATGACCCAACGGAAAGAGCCATGTCAGCGTTAATTGCACGAACAAATCATGCCACAACATGTTTATTAGAGAACATTGTGAGGCTCTATTTGACTTTTCCAAACGGATTGGTCCTCTTAATTTACTTTTGTCTGAAAAGGCTGATCTAACTGCGAGAGAGACTACTTATATTTCTTACAATTTGAAAAGTGGGTAACAAAGTTAAAAAAAAAAACGTTAGGAAACTAAAACAAGTTTGATAAGTGTATACTACTAATAAAATTTGAAATAAATTAACACTAATCTATGGATATTGGTCCATATGTTTATTATTACATTTCCTGTGTTTGCAAGATTTGATTTTCTGATCTGTTGTGGGGAACTTTGTCAAGTCCTCCGAGACGACTGTTGTGATTTAGGGCTGTACAAAACTAAACTGAATTGGATCATAAGAAACAAGTGTGTTCAAGTGATGTACTGGCCACTCGTCATACAAAAACGTTAAGTTTTGTTAGTAGCAACATTGATTTTCCATAATAAGAACCTTTCCATTTGTGATGTGAAATTTCCATCACATTTAACACATTTCTTGAATAAAATGTGTGCAAAATGTATACCAAACAATGAAAAGTCCTTTATTGCCATCAGAACATGAGTGAGACCAAAAAAATTGGACAAAAAGTGAGGCGTCAACTGTACAACAACCATTCGATAAACAAACACACACACAACCACAAACACACACTTTCAAACAGGACACACAAAAAAACTCGCACATGCAACTCAAACTCAAGTACAAAAACAGTGTTCTTTCCAACAACACAGGCGAGCAGAAATGTCGAAACAGCAGCATCAGGGTCATCACCTCACTCCCATTTTGAGAACCTTTGGTCGCACGGACTCTTACTTTAGCAAAATTATGTTAAAAAATAGGTCCCTTTGCAGACTTTCAGCAGATGAGCAGTTAAGTATGTGTGTGCGGGGAGAGGGTACAACACAAATTTCAAAAGTTAGTCAGACATTCAAGTGTGTACGTTAGCAGCAGTTCTAGTAATGACTGGATAAATGGCTTTAGTATTTAAGACCATGCAAGTACAGGCACTGACAAGAACATTTTGTCACCTATATACCATGCAGGTTAGAAAAATAGACTGCACGAGACTGAGAAATCAAAAGTTCATCTCCAGAGAAAGAGTTTGATTTCATTTGGATTTTATTTATTTTCTAAAGATGTGGAAATAGCAACAAAAGAAAAATATAGAACTTGAAAGCGGTACAGAGAGAGAACAGAGAGCTGTTGAGTTTTGTTTCAGTCCCTCTCCATTGATACCCAGTCTACGAGGTACGAGACACAAAGTTCTTGCTCACACGTTTTTTTTTTGTCACTCTGTGGTGATTTAAAGTTTCGCGTGCATACCTGTAAGAATAGGTGTGTTAGGATGTTTGTCTGGCTCTCGTGTTGAAGCTGTCCCACAAGTTTCTGGGCCTTTCCTCTCAACCTCTCTCTGAGCACATGCCCTGGAGAGGCGGCCTCCTGCTGCTGCTGCTGCTGTAGTGGTTTTTAGGTTTTTTGTTTCAAGACACTGATGTGACTGCTGCCTCCTCCTACACGGACCAGAGGCAGGGCGAGTTCTAGGTATCTTGTGAGTTGATTTTTCTTTTTAGCCTATCCCGTTTACGAGCAGTGCCGTTTTGGACCCTGTGTAGGCTTAGTGGTAGCCTCTTCACCAGCCCAAGCCTCTGTTAGTTACCAATTGTCACCTCTCCATTTTCTTTTGCCAAATCTCACACGCAACCGCACATACATACCCCCAAAGTGGCCAAATATTCAGATTTTGGCACCTCTATTTGTCACCTTGGCCAGCCACTCCCTATGCTTCTCTATCCTCTCTCATCCATTTTCTCCTCGCTCAGTAAAACAAAAATCACCCTGGAAGAACAACCTCTTCCTCTTAAGTAACAATAGCAAACATAAGAATGTTTTTAATACATCTTTTTTTTTTTTCAAATTCAAGGCACAATGTCTTAATATTCCAATCTCCCAGGTTCAGTGTGCGTCCCAATCGGACCGTCTGCTCGTGAGCCACTCCCTACAGCTTACGCCTCTCGATACTGTAACACTGTTCGGTAGAGAGACAGCCGCCAAGAGCCCTAACCAGTGATAAACAATGAACAAAATGAACAAAAATAAAGACACAAAGTTTATCTTTTAACAAAAACGTCTTGTCCTGTTTCTCGTGTTTCAGTATTTCAAAATCAAGTCATATCCACCAGCTCATATTTGGCAAGCTAGTTTTTTTTTAAATAAGCACTAAGTACTGATAGATAGGATAGCATACACCGTGTGGTTTTAAGTAGATGCGTTTGTCGTTTTTTTGTACTTTTTCACTCTCATAGTATGGATTCAGTATTTTGTCTCATCTGTTTAAGATTTACGTTAATGCAAGCAGGGACAGAGTTTGCCATGGAGTCTTGCTAGACTTAGGTTTGTGAGAGGCGGAGCAGGCCGCTTGTTTACGAGACCCCGTTGACCAGAGTCAGGCCCGTGTCGGAGTCTGCCTTCATGCCTTTGCTGGGGGAGCGCTTGGAAGGCGTTCGCTCGTCCTTCTTGGAGCTCGTCCCATTCTCCTAAAGCAAAAACACAAACGATAGCAACACAAACGTTAGAGACGGAAACAAAAACAAACTACATCCTCAGTGAGCGTAAGGCTGGACCATGGATCTATAATAACTGGATTGGTTATTACTAGCTTATAGCTGTCCCAACCATGGGCACAGGGGGCGCTGTGGTACTGCAGACTCAAGTTATGTACCCAGTAAACAGTCCCATATAACTCAATGTAAATTAAAACAGCTCCGCCTCAGCTGACAGAGAACCTGACAGAGAACCTACAGCTTTCATAAAGGTCATATTTTGAGGGGATTTTTGTCGTCCTGAACTTTTTTTCTTCTTAAATCCTTCGGTTTTCTTTCTCATAAACTCTGCTCCTTTCCTTCCTGCTCTAGCTCCGCTCTACCGCTGCTCTGATCAGTAGCTCTGATTGGTCAGAGTGCGGCCGAGCCACTCTGTGCACGTGCACGAGAGCCACACACACATATTTGGTACAAAGCATCATGGGAGCTTGTCCACTGCTCAGAACCGGGTGGACCAGATGATGCCCAAATATGGGCGAGTTCCACTAATCTTTCGGTCCCCCTGTATGTCCCATGAGCTACTGAGCCAATCATTTGAATAGGGCGCCATCTTGGATCACCGGGGCTTGGGCTGGACAGGAGCTGACCTTGAGCTCGGGTCCAGTGTGGTTCTTCTCCTGGGGCAGGTTCTGTCTGCTCTGGGACTCGGCACGAGATATGTAGTCTGCAACTGTCACTGGAAACACAAGGGTAATGTTAATGTCAGATTTATTTGTATAGCGCATTTACAACAAAAACTGCCCAAAGTGCTTCACAAAAAGACGACATGAGACCTGGTTTATATATATAAAGAGAGAGAGAGTGAGTGAGAGAGAGACAGACAGAGAGACCAGAGAGAGTTACAATAATCCAACCTTGAAAAAATGGGTGAGAAACTCGTTCAAAATCAGTGGAATGTAGGCATTCACTTTGCTCAAGGCTCGAAGCTAGTTTTGATAACCGAATTCATTTGATTTTCCATCCTAAAAGTGCTATCAAGAGTTAAAAGTCAGTGGGTAAAATAAAGGCCGCCATCTTTTATAAACCACAGCAGACCACACACCTGGATGTCTCAGATTTAATGAATATTGTGGATCATTATTAAGCGAAAGCCCACCTTCAGCTGGCTGTCTTTCGCGGCTGGTTGAACCTCCCTCAGGGCGGTTACCACGGTTGCGGCGGCGACGGCTCCGGTTGCGGCGCTGAGGTCTGGCTTCTTCGTCTGAAATGAAGAAAACGGGTCAAAAACCGTGGATTTGAGCAGCAGCAGCAGCGAAGGAGGATCTATGGAGGCTGTACCCAGGCCGTTCTCGCTGGGGCCCTGGCCGTCGGACTCGGCTGCATCCATGACGCTGGGGTCCTGGTCGGTGCGGCGGCGTCTGGAGCGGCGGCGTCTCTCTGTGCCTTCGCTTCCGTCTCCGTCAACCAGCTCCCCCTCACCCTCCAGCAGAGAGTACGGGTTACTGTCAGGGTCTCTCAGCACTGCACACACAACAGAATAAGTAAGGTTAGCTATATTTATATAGCGCATTTATCTCTCACTCCACAGAGATGGGAGCGAGGTCAGTACAGGGGGCTAATACCAGACCTATAGTACATGTTTTTAGTGGTAGGGGAAACCAGAGCACACAGAGGAAACTTACGCAGACACAGGGAGAACATGCAAACTCCATTCAGAAACTCAGATTGGACTTGGAGCCTTTAGATTGATACTTTATTGATCCCTGTAGGAGACATTCAGGTGTCCAGCAGCAGCAAAAATTAAACATAAATTTGATAATTCTAAAAATAGCCAACTATAGTAATACTACGCAGCAGTCCAGGGTTTAAGAGTAACAATTGAAATCAGAACCCCAGGTGGATCTTCATTGAATCCATTCTCACTTTCAATATTACAGATTGGTTTGGTTCACTCAGTCTCACACATTTCACCCAAAAAGATTATTATCAATCCGCAGCAGAATCATTGGACAGAAGCAAGACTCAGGCATTTACAATCACAAAGTTTTAAGGAAAGGCTCCCAGTTCTCACACACTCTGCTCTCACTACAGTCGGCTTCCATCAGGGCATAGGTTCAGGTCCCTCCCATTCAAAATAATAAGGGCCATGTCCAGCTCCCTCCCCGCCTCATTTACCCTTTTAAACAGCCAATTTATTTATTTTATGTATTGCATATCTACACTTTTATTGTATCTATATCTTGTGTTTCTGTATTTTTATCTACCCCACTGGTGCTCCGTATATAAAGGAAGTTATCTGAATTAAATTGAGACCTTTATAACTATCCTCTGAGTTACTTTGTGATATTAGTATATTTGCTTATAACTTATTTCAATATATTGAATTAACATAGGGAAGAGGGGTAGGATTTAATAAGCTTTGGCTTCTTCCTACTCCTTCTTACTGTCTTTCTTTTAAATTTATTCGATGTTCAAATAAACACAATAAATAAATAAATAAAAATGAAACGAGGGCAGGAGTCTCTCACTTCGCCCCCACTTCAGGAAACAATGTACAAAACTCATTCACATGATTTGATAATGTTCTTTTTCTCAAGTCTTTAAGTAGCAATATGTAAGATTTTCCTGTCAAATCATCATTAAAGGGCCCTAATCTGTCATAATAAACTGCTCTTTTCAGAGTTCAGAGATATTTGAAGATCTAAATTAGTATTCCAGCCCCTAAATCTTGTTATTGTTTTCATTTTGATGTCCTTCCCTCTATCATTTCACCAATCAGAAAGACCGTGATCCGGGTTGCGCGAATCTAAAATAAAAAATAAATAAAAATAAAATAAAAATAAAGTGAAAAAGGTGTTGGTTATAGATATGTTGTTGACAAAACTCTTGTCTATTCAGCTGTTATGGTCCCAGCTGGATTCGTCTGCATATCTGGCAACCTGAGTCAGGGAGAGTGGGAGAGGCTGCAGTACCACTTTTGGCTAGATTTTTACATACTGGTCCTTTAAATACAACCAGAACTTGTGTCATTAACTGGTCACAAACTCAGTAAGCAGAGAACACATATGTTCTGAGGTAGAGGAGTAACGAGTACCTGAGCTGATGGAGTTGGTTGGTTTGGAAGCCGGTCCTCCACGGCCGCGCCCTGAGCCAGATCCTCTGCCGCGGCCGCCTCGTCTGGAGCCTCTCTCTTCACCACCGAGACCTCGGGGACGCTGCTCCCGGTCCACATCCTCTGACTCGGACGCATTGGACTGCTCAGAATTTGTGCCTGAATTAGACACAACACACAGAACTTAGGTCAACATCTTAAGGAGCAAAGAGCTGCTGTGTACAAGTCCATCACGACACAGGATCATTACGACAGTTTGGGAAAAAGATTGAGATTTGAAAAGCTCAAAACCATTTTAAAAATAGACACTTTTTCCAGTCTTCTGTATGTATTTGTTTGACAGTGGAAAACTATAGCTAGCTTGAAAGATTTAAGGTTGCTGCTTAATGGACATATTGTTTGTCCTAGGTCTAAATGAAGTTAATATAATAATATTTTACAACCAAAAGTGAACACAAACACAAAATGTGTCCAAATATTAATCTCAGACACCAAAATTGCAAAATTGTGTGCTGACGGCACCCACAGTGTTAGCCCAAATGTGGAAGTCTATTTGAACACAAGCTAGCTGAAGCTAATTTCCTTATATGGGCTTTTGGTGCACAGTCTCTGCAAATGAATTCTTGCATCTTGTATCTTTTCTTTCACGCCATAACAAATGCAGATAACCAAGTAAGACGTTTCTACACTGAACACATTTGTGACACCCGCGGCAAGACCCTCTCACCGTATCCGGAGTACTGGTTGTTATTGGGGCGGCGGCCGCGGCCTCGGCCTCCGTAGGTGCGGGACGTGTGCAGGGAGTTGCTGCTGTCGTCGGTCAGGTAGCCCTTCTCACGGTCTCCTCCTGGTCCTCCGCTGCGGCCGCTGGGAGGAGCCCGGTAGCCCACTCCGATCTGTCTCAGCTGCTCGTCGATCTGCAGCCGCTCCAGACGCAGCTGCTCCACCTCCTGCACCGGGGAAACCAGAGGGAGGAAATGTCAGTGTTGCATCAGCGGGTACAAAACGGTAGGAATGAGGAGCACACGGCACAAGATACGTGAACAATAACTATACAATATTTACAATATAATCTATAGCTTAAGCACAAACAGATGCAAGAATTATTATATCCCTTCCTTTAAAACAATAAAAAGTTAAAAAGTAAGTAATAAAATCTAATCTAATCTAATCTTCACCAACTGTGAGAGGCTACGCACACACACATTTCATTCACTTTAACACTCTGTCCATTAGATTTACTGATGGCTGAACGTTAAAGAGCGTTCATTCAACAGAGTTGTAAAATTACAGGCAACAGTCCACCACTAGGTGTCAGCAAAGATCCTTTATTCTTCTCATACTGAGACTGTGGGGTAATTGGAGGTTAAAGGAGGAGGAACTAAAGACAGAAAGACAGTTTAAGTCTCAAATTAACCTCAGAAGTTTACATGACATGACTAAGAGTTTGCGTCTGACATTTACAGTTTGATAATAACTGTAATCCTAAAAAGATGTTTCTCTTGCTCTAATTATGACTGAAATCAGCAACATTAACAAGGTAACATCAAGCAGTGTTTCTTTCAATAAGAACGTGAGCAGTTGAAGATGGAAAAACAATTGAAATCATTTGTAGCATGACCAACAAAACACAATTCACAGGTAGAACTCTTAAATTTGATTGAACTGAGGTCTGCCATAACTGCAATTAAACAGATTTTTGTGGAAGCCTAAATCATAACTGCAGTCGTCTTGAAGGACTTAGCAAAATTGTCAATTATCAATAATATAATTTCATGATTGAAAAGATGTTCAAACCCGCAACAGCCACTGAGACTAGATATAAACCAACTTCACACAAAGACAACACTGGATATTTTGGCTCCATGTTCCACTCATTCTCTTTTTTACAGAAGACAATTTGGCAAAACACAGCTATTAAGTGGAAACCCTGTGAAAGCCTAACCCTCCACAATTTACTTATGTGGAGATTTAGGGTTAGGTAGGGCTGGGCGATATGGCAAAAAAGTAAAATCTCGATTTTATTTCCTGCTTTGGACGATTTAGATTTTTCATTGATTTTTAGTCACCAAAGACAGACTTTGCCCTTAAAAATATTTTTGTATCTTTCCGCTCAATGTTCAAGTTTCAAAACTATTTCTAATTTGTTTCCCCTAATACATATTAGAAAAGTCTTGTACAGACTGTGCTGATATTGCAAATATGATTCATGTGCTGCTGGAACTCTCACAGTATTCTTATTTCACGATTTAAACATTTTTCACAAATTCGATTTATTCAAAAGCCAATTAATTGCCTAAATTCGATTTATTGCCCAGCCCTAGGGTTAGGGTTTTTCCCTAACTTTTTCCCACTTCTTTCCAACCTTTTTGTTCAGTTGTTCCTTGCTGAACCAGGAGGGTCTAAAGGACAGTATGATTTCTCTGATCTGTTGGTAATCGATAACTTTGTAAAATCCTCCGAGAGACAACTGCTGTAGGGATTTAAAGCTATAAACAAAAACCTTGATGCTTAGAGGGTTCTTTTAATAAGACCGACGTGTAAAGATAGTACAGCTTAATTGATAAGACAATTCACTTTTTATACATTATTTTAGGGCTACAGTGGCTCATGCGGTAGAGCATTGGCCTTTGAGCTTGAAGGTCGTGGGTTCGAGCCAAGACAAGACCCCATTGCAGAGAATGAGTCTAGTTTGTGTGTGAATGGTTGGTGGTGGTCAGAGGTGCATACTGGTTGCCTCGCTTCTGTCAGTGTGCCCCAGGGCAGCTGTGGCTACAGTAGTAGTTTATCATCACTGTGTATGGATTGAATGAATAACAACATGTGAAGCGGTTTTGAGTGTCCACAAAAGCGCAATGTAAAACCAATGCATTATCATTAGTTTACAAATATATCGAATCAAGTGGTGGTGTAAAATGTTCCCGTAGTTTAACGACTACGCTAACACGTCCTAAAACTTTGGTCTGGTTCTCTTTAACGGGGCAAAATCCTTCATTAGTGGATTTAAAACGACCAAACAACTGAACAGGTGCCCAGCGGTCACTTGACTCGGCTTACATGAGTTGAAACAAATCTGTGAATCACTTTTGCCTCAGACTTGACTCAGACTCCAGTTAAAATGAACCAAACCAAGTGCGATCGTGGGCTTAGTATTGTTTCCAATCCTTGTTTTAGAACGGGGGCTGATCCGCTTCACGGTGTGATTGGTGCTTTCCTCATAAAAACCGCTCAAGTGGAGGTGGCCACGGTGCAGCGACAGCAGTTTGATCTCCTCAGCTGCTTCACCCCACGACAGCTGCAGCTCCGGGGGCACGAGGGGCGGGAGGGGGGAGGAGAAGGGACGTGTGGCCGAGGGTATTTATGGAAGTCCTCCGCCTCCTGATAGCTGGTAATCTAAACTCAAGAATCTAGCCCCCACCCTTACCACCACCACCCGCGGGGGCCATACCCAACGTACAAACGCATGGCTATTTATGAAGCGCATGAGGTAAGGACAAACTATGGCCCCTTCAGTTGCTCCAATCACAAAGAGAGATTAATAACGGATAGTTCTTCCTGAAAATGTGAGACAGGCTTCTGGTCTGATCATCCCCACTGTTTTAGACCCTCCTGCATCGGCAAAGGAGATTTGAGTTTGATTGTCTATTAGCTTTGCCTTATGAAATGTTCCAAACAAAGGAGCAGTATGTTAAAAATGTGGCCAAAAGTGGCACTGCAGCCTCTCCCACTCTTCCTGACTCAGGTTGCCAGATATGCAGACGAATCCAGCTGGGACCATAACAGCTGAAAAGAGTTTTGTCAACAACAAATCTATAACCAACACCTTTTTCACAAAGATAGAAATCCTGGTTTTATTCCTTGTTTTGTCGTTAAGGATTTGCGAATCATAACAAGACCTTTTTTAGTTCTGCACCACATGGTACTTTACCAGTGAGATTAGCTCCACGGCGTAAGTTCTGGCACCCGGGTCACAGACTTTCAGTTTGGTGAAATGGTGGAAGGCGGGACATCGAAATGAAAACAACAAGATTTAGGGGCAGTAAACTAATTTAGAAATTAAAATCTCTCTGAACTACTGTTTTCAGTTAAAGAAGTATTGGAAAAGAGCAGTTTATTATCATGACAGATTAGGGCCCTTTAATGATGACTTGGAATACATTTTTTACATATTGCTACTTTAACAAGGTGGTCTGACCTGAAAAGAGCGGGGTAGAGACAAGCGAGGAGGAGGACTGACCTGCAGATACGACACGTGGTACTCCAACAGTGCCTGAGCGTTGCTGATGTTTTCCTTGGTGCCGACAAAGACGAACGGAACCATGCCCTGGAGGTGGGAGAGAGTTAGCCGTAATATTCTTGTTCCCTAATTTACGTGTACAATGTGTTATAGTTGTCCATCATGATTTGTTAAAGTATTCAACAGAAAAAGCAGCAAAAAAGTAATATATTAGCCAAGGGTTGTATGAAGAGTTTTAAACTGTGTCGAGAGGAATTGGTTTGAATTCCTGGACTCCTGCTGGGACTCGGCGCACAGGGACCGGGGGCCCCCCCTGCTGGGACTCGGGGGAGCACAGGGACTGGCCTCCATGTTCTCCTCTATGTTCAAATCACTGTGATCCTTTATGCCTGTATGATTTTAACATTTCAGCGCTGTGAGGCCCAACTTTGACTCCGCAATTTTTTGATTGTGGTCCTGTAAAAATGTTGCAGAAAGTAGAACCAAACCAAGTGGTGGCCAAAGTGTGTGGGAGGTGCAGACGGGACGTGGGGAGAGTACATGCAGTTGTGGGAGAAGGGGGGAGGGCGGAGGAGTGGGGGGGGACTGTTGCGGCGGCTCATTCACCTGTAAGCTGCCTACCTCCTCACGGGGAAGCTTTTTGTCATTGTCCCCCTCAATCCTGACACGCACCACTCCGGATTTGTCCACAATCTCCTGGATGACTTTGCCGTTTTTTCCGATGACTTTGCCTTTGAGACACAAGTTACGATAAAGATACTAAAGTGATGAAGAGGTGAAGGGTTTAGTTTAATGTAAGGAGTGTGTAAAACTCACCAACGAGGTTTCTGGGAACTTGAAAGAAGTCTTCTTTGAACTCAAGGTATTCTCTGGCTTGTTTTACTGCTTCTGGTGTCTGGGACAAGAGGAGAATAAGTCATATGCTTATAAATAGTTCAATGTTTTCAATGGCTGTATTCTTTTATAACCAGATTTGACTAAACTGCAAATCCTCAGCCCATGTGCTTTTAATCAGTGTGTGAAGTGTGTGTGTGTGGGCAGTGAGTTTAAACGTCAGCTGTGAAAAGTGAATGTGTCATGGTGGCAGTCAAGTTCTACATGAAAAATGTCTGGCAGCTGTTTTTGGCCATTTGACACTTCACAGAATGACCTTATATAATTATCTTCCATCTTTTTAAAGAGGTTTCTGTGCCATATATAGCAGGGGTTGGAAACCTTCACTAGCAAAGAAACATTTCCCTCTTTTTCAACCAAAGAGAAATTGTCAAGAGCTAAGAGAGAGTACCCATCCCACTCATTGAACACTATCATAAATATGGTATATCCAGTATTTCATGACCAAGCACACACAAACACACACTTATATATTTTAGTTTGGCTCATAATTTGGCCGTGAAGTGCCTGTACCTCTCCGTAGATCCTGAACGTGCAGCTCTCCTCCTCCAGCTCGATGGCAGTGACTCCGGGAACCTTCCGGGCCTGCTGGATGTTGGCGCCGTGGGAGCCGATGGCGAGTCCCATCAGGTCCTCCCTGACCTTCACCTCCTCCTGGTACGCCGATGCCAGCTGCTTACTGGTCTGAGCTCACACAGACACAAAGTAAGAGTAATTCTCATGTATACATTTTATTGGAATTGTGTGAAATGTGTTTTATCTGTGGACTATCCGATTTTATTAAGTCCATATAAATAGATAGATAAATAATGGGACTACTGTGGGTACTCACCTCTAGGTGTTTAGTGGCCTCTTCGTTTCGGGACATTAACATGAGTTTAGTTCGGATGCTGCGGAAATGCATGTCGCTCAGGAGGGTCGCACGCTTTACTGTGGTTTCGTTTGTTGACTGCGAAAACAAACCAAAAGACGACAATCAAAGGATGCCCTGACACTGGATAAAGACATTGAGTTGTTTGGTTCTGCTTCTGTACCAGTCAAATGTAAGCTAGCAAGATGGGAGATGGGTACATATTGGAATCATGTGGGCACCGGAGCTTAATAGTTCAGCAAGTACTGTATATAAGACAGAACGGTGGAGCCCTCAAACTTCACAAGAGAGAGAGGAATACAAAAATCAATAACAGAAATCAATGAATTAAAAATATGTGAGAAAGATGTAGGGAAACCAGGTTGCTGTATGAGCCACTTTAATATTTAAACCTGCTTCTTTAATGTCATTTTACAGGGGTCCCCAACCTTTCCCCTCAGAGAGCTACTTTCTCAAGACAAACAGCTGAGGGCTCCTTTAAGACAGTGTTAGTGTTTTCTGTTACTCCATTTATTTCCTGGAAGAGTCGACTGGGCCCAAGAATCAGGGAAAAAGAGGCCCGGCAGCACATTATTATTTCAGTTTAGCATTTCCTGCCCTGGTGTCATTGTGGGTTACAGTTCTTGGTGGGGTTTTCCTTTTGGTTTCTCCTTGGTTTATTAGTCAGGTTGTGTACTTTAGTTGGCTCCAAATATTGTATTTTTGTCGTATTATTTTCTGAATGAAAATTATGTTTGGTCCCTTACAGCTACCTTCTAAATCATTTGAGCTACCTGGAAGGGAGTGGTGAACTAATGGTAGCTCTTGATAGGTTGGAGAGACCCCTGTAATAGTAATTCCTTGGTCTAAAAGTTTGTCACATAAGGTACTTAGACTAGGCTCTGTACTAGCAGAGCCTAGTCTTGGCACAGCCTCAGGGCACTCACCAGGACTATGAGGTCATGTGACTGGGCGCTGTAGAAGATGCAGTTGGCTCCGATTGCTTTCCTGAAGTCTTTGTGGATGCTGTCGTTCGCACAGCTGTGGATAAAAACATAAAAACAGTCAAAAATTCAGCACGGTGTCTGTACAGGAAGTGGCTGTGGTCGAGGAAAACCCAGTGGGCGCTCACATGTCTCGTAGGTCTTCTGGTACTGGGATGGGCACCTTGTGGAAGGAGGTTTTTGACGACGGGCTGTTGGGGTTGACGGGCCTGATGCGCTCCGACGTGACGATTTCGTTGTATGTGGCGTCGCAGGCGGCGTATTCGATCACGTAGAACTGCGGAGAGCACAGAAGTATGAGGAGATGTGACTCCCTTTTGTCGCCACGGTCAAACCCAGCTCTGGATGCAGTGGGAGACATGCTTTAGATACGGACCACTAACCATCACAAGTCCTGAAACGATCTTTGGGTGAGTAAAGCTTGCATATACACAGGATTACTACGGAGGGTTAGGTACAAGTAATAACTCCAAAAAAGATTAGTAAAAACAAAGCTAAGAAACCAGTATGACATCTATAACCTCCTGTGAAGGTGAGTAAAGCTGTATTTTCTACAGTTTTAAGATTTAGATGTTACCAAAAGCAAATCATCTGGAGATATGATTGATCAAATTCAATGTTGATCAAAATCAATTTGCCTTATTCACACACACCTCATTCACATACATTTAATTTACAGCATAAAGATAATTTAAAGACACCACACATCACTGATTAATTTGTTTAAGAAAGGTCAGAATTCTACTGCTCACATACCTGCTCCATCTGCTCCCTGATTAAAGGGGAGGGCCACAAAGCATTTCCTTGTTTTAAAACCCACTGGCTCCACCCAATTAAAAGGAGGGGTTTGCCAATTAACCTCTTTCAGGGAATTAATATGCATTTGCAGTGTCTGTGTGCAACTGTGTGCGTCTGTGTAGTAATTTTGTATCGTTTGTCTACCATGTACACAATCTAATGTATTCAAGCAGAGTGGGAGGAGCCAATCTTAGGCCTTGTGTATGTGCTAGGCCTTTTCCAGCAAAAAGAATATGCACACATTATTTCGTGGCAATTGTTTTGTACATTTGCATTTCTTCTGCCACTTTGGCCACTCATGCTACACTAACTCATCCCCAGCAACAACACAACCACATCTGACACGAGAATGAGCCTTTGTAAGTGTTTACTAAGAAACTGATTAAAATGATTGGATAATTGCCCCACCATTTCATAAAACTTTCACAGAGCCCACAGTCGAGTCAGATTGACAAAAGATAAGAGGAAGAAGAGCTAAACTATTCTATTCATACTCAAAGCTTTTCTCATTTTAACAATCGAATAATAAAAGAAGAATATCAGATCAGTGAAGGAATCGAGGAAGGTGTTGCAATGTGGTTATTTATTTATTATTTATTTATATACCGCCTTTCACAGACCAGAGTCACAAAGCGGTTTACAATTGTTACTTTTTTTTTTTTTTTTTTTTTTTTTTTGGGCACTTGTCCTCTCACTCCGCACAGAGATGGGAGCGGGGTCGCCGAACAGGAGGCGCATGCCAGACCTATTGTACATATTTTTAGTGGTAGGGGAAACCGGAGTACCCAGAGGAAACCTACGCAGACACAGGGAGAACATGCAAACTCCACTCAGAAAGGCCCTGGTCCGGCCGGGATTCGAACCCAGGACCTTCTTGCTGAGAGGCGAGAGTGCTATCCACTAAGCCACCGTGCCGCCCAAGCCCGGTTAGATTAAAGCAAAGACACACAGTCAGAGACACACACACACAAACACATACACACACACAGACACATAGACCTGTAGGAGACTCACAGAACAGAATTAAAGCCATCAGTCAGAGCTGATTCCGCACTGACTAAACACTGCTAATACAAACATATGACCTGCCACACATGATTAAAAGTAGTAGAAAAAGACCCTAAAGAGTAATAAATTAACCAGGGCAGTAGAATCTTTGTACCAGAGAGAGAGAGACCAGAGAGGCCAGAGAGAGAGAGAGAGACCAGAGAGGCCAGAGAGAGAGACCAGAGAGAGAGAGAGACCAGCACAGGACTGAGGGCTACAGGAAAATCAGAGGGACCAGAGAGAGACCAGAGAGGATCAGGACTAAGGGCTAAAGACCGCGGTGGTCCTCTCAACTGTTCACTGCGGTGCACACAAGCCACAAACGTTTTCTACTGACTTTAAACAAAGGTAACTGACATGTTATGCTAACAATCATATGATGTTGCAGTATAATGTTATAATGACGGACATTCTTGAGTTTGGGGGTGATTGCAGAACGTCAAAATCCACAGGTTAATTTGAAATAGTTGTGTAACAAAACAATGCGTTACAAAACAATGTGTAACAAAAATGTCATAAAAAACTAAAAGAGGTTCACCATGACAACCAAACCCATATTCTCTTCTCCAAACAGCTGTTGTCAAACCATTTAAAACCAGCTCTAAACCAAACCATGCCGAGAAAGACGAAGGAAACCCCCATCAAAAATCAAAAATAAAAACATGATATTGGGTTAAACTATCTAAAATTGCAATCAACAAATTAGTGCAGCAGTCAAGCGTCTGAACACGTCTCACCTGGTTACATTTCTTCTCTTTGTTCTTGTTCTGACAATTACCAAAGTAGATTTTAATACCAGAACCAACCACTGACTATCAGAAGTTAGATCTAAAACCAAGCCCTATATTGACTCATCCGGGAGCCCTGGTCTACACCTTGGGCCTTTTCTCACTACAGTAACTTGTGTTCAATAATTAGTGTTTTACGGGTTTTTTTCTCTGTGAAGGAAAAATGGCGTTTATTTGTCACTCACCTCCCCCTTCATCATGCGTACGCGGGCCAGCCACCATCCGCACGGCTCCTGCTCGTTGGCTCTGGAGTAGACCTGTGGGACAAGTACAACATGAGTATACACAATAAAGTATACACAACACACACTTATTTACATCTGATTAATGACTGCAGACTATCTTTGCTTCTTTATTATGCTAAAGTTTTTTATTTATTTCATTTTATTTAGTACAGAGTTATTGTTCATGTATCTTGTGCTGTGCGCTTTTGTGAATGGTTGGTGGTGGTACGAGGGGCTGATGTCAAAGACTGGTTGCCTCGCTTCTGTCAGTGTGCCCAAGGGCAGCTGTGGCTACATTGGTAGTTTATCACCACCGTGTTTGGAGAAAAAGAATAATGACATGTGAAGCGACTTTGTGTCCAGAAAAGCGCTATATAAAACTGATGCTTTTTTTTACTGTATATATTCTTCAATGCAAACAGTATTGGTTGACCCACACATCATTTTTACATAACTCTAGTGCACAGAGTGAGACATACATTCATGAACCAAAAGAATATTGTAATATTTGATGCAGTGCTACATTTCCTCACCGTGAGACACCCAATATTCATGAGAACCGTGAGTATTATATATTCATGGTACTCATTAGTTGACGTGGAAATGAAACATCCACTAAAATGTTTTCTTTCCATTAAAGATCTTTGTACGACAGTCTCTATGACAACGTAAAAACAAGCCAGGCTGAATGGCGGATGAGTCACGAGCAAGAATAAAGTCATATCTGTTTCCGTTAGCCAAACTAACCACGACCTGTAACAGTAGCACAGAAGAATCATTTTGCTCACTCAAAAAACAAAACATCTGTTGTGTCAAAACACTGGAAGGGATGGAAAGAAGATCAAAGGATTCCCTCAACCACTGAACTACCATGGGGGGGCAAAGTTCCAGATTCATGCAGCTAAAATCTGCTACAGTCTTCTTGAAAATGTGAGACGGACATAAATCCAGATTAAAAACAGTTTGGTTTTGCAACAACTGGAGGATTATAATTTCTCCTTTTAATGCACTGTCATAATATATGATTTTAAAGTTTTTCTTGTTTTGTTTAGCACTTTGAGTTGCCTTTCATGGACTGTGCTAAACAAATAGTGAGAAAAAAATTGCACAAATAAAAAATGTTATACCCCAGCCCCATATTAGCCGGAGTGAATAGTCGGGAGGAGCTCAAGGATTTGAATCAGTTCCATCCATGGCCATACGAGCCACAATATCAAAAAAAGTGACAAATTTAATTCAAGGAGCTTTAATAGCAATAACTTTGGCGCAAAATAAAGCAAATAAAAATGGTCAGTGTCAGGGCTGGTTACAAGCTTTTTAAGAGTTGAGGCTCACAAAATGGAAAGAAAATAATTAACTGTCCCCACGGTTCCTTCTGTCCTTCAACACTATACATCAAGATGCATTGGGTTTGGGAGTCAGGATCTTTGACGATGGTAATGGCAATTTTGTGCACTTTTCAAATACAACAAGGGAGGTCCAAGTTGGGGGGGGAAACGTAGCCTCGGTCTGCAGCCTCAGTCCTGGGTATGCAGCCTCAGTCCTGGGTATGCAGCCTCAGTCCTGGGTATGCAGCCTCAGTCCTGGGTATGCAGCCTCAGTCCTGGGTATGCAGTAGGGTTGGGCGATATTTTTTTTGTACCGGTATACCGGTATAAGTAAATTAAATGATAAGAAAATGCCTTATACCGGTGAAAACGATCATTTAACACTGAAAACAGCGAGCGGAAGACACGTTTGTGTGCGGCGCACTTTGATGACGCATCTGCGCAGCACGTGTAGCAGAGCGGCGTGCAGGGACAACAACAACAGAGCAGAGAGCAAACATGGCTGAGGGCGGCGGTGAAGACCATGGTGAAGACATGCAGATTGTAGAAGACATTGTGCCAAAACGCAGAGCTACCTCAAACATATGGGAGTAGTTTGGGAACTAGATAAAAAGAAGCAATTGTGTGTAACTATGGACAGTGGATCTAATGTTGTGAAAGCAGCTGCCCTAAACAACTGGACTCGAGTGGCTTGCTTCGGACACTCGCTCTCTCTCTCTCTCTCTCTCTCATAGTGCCATTGGTAAGCTTTATTTACTGTTTACGGTCATTCATTTTACTTCAATGCATGTGTTTGTCTACATTGCAATATAATTACAAATAAGTTATAATTACATAATTATAGAAACGCAAAAGGATACAAAAAATATATACAGTATTTGATCATTTTGACTATATTGGGATTAGGAAACATAAGCCAAAGTGATCAAATAATTATTTGATAATGCTACACTTTTTATATTACAAAGGACAAACTTTTATATATTTTACAAATTACAAATGTTCACCTTTATTACATGTTGCCTGCAATTTTCAGTATGTACAAAACAGAATTCTCTACAATTCAGTTTTGTTAATACGTTTTATATACAATAGCTGTATTACACATTTTGCTGCCAATAAATCAGTAAATGCACTTTGAGGCAAGTGTGTTTAAAATTATCAGTGCTAAGTTTTTATAGCTTTTATATGAGGCTTTGTTAAAATTATATCGTCATATCGTGATACATACCAACAAAAATTGTGATACATGCTGAGGCCCATATCGCCCAACCCTAGTATGCAGCCTCAGTCCTGGGTATGCAGCCTCAGTCCTGGGAATGCAGCCTCAGTCCTGGGTCAACAGCCAGTTCGTCCGTGGGAACAGATCCCTCCCTCAATGTGGGCCTTCCCAAGGTTTCTCAATTTTCTCCCAATTTTATATTTTTTTCTTCTTTGCCGATGGAGGAGGGTCTAAGGACAGTGGTGATGGTCCAGGACACTCAACAAGATTACTGACCATTTATGGTCATCAGTAATCTGCCCCTTATGGACCAAAGGCTCTATGTGTTTGATCTGTGTTGGCGAATTTGACTCCAAGATAACTACTGTTTATGATAGAAGCACTAAATTGAAATTGCTCAAACAGATAGTTCCAGTTTGAGTTGGTTTTGAGTGTGTGTGTGTGTGCGTGCGTGCGATGCCCCAGTCTTACCTCCACCTCATCTCCTTCCCCAATGTCCTTGTGGTAGTCTGCTGGGGGAGGCAACCGCACGTCACTGAAAGGCAACTGTCGCTCAGGCTGCCAACTGACGGAACACACAAAAACACACAACGGTTCATACATTTACTTTCAGGCAGAGAAAGTAAGTAATCTTTATTTATATAGCATATGTAAAATGAAAAAGCAGTTGACCCACATCCAGCCAATCAGTTCTCAGTAACAGATCAAATGTCTTAACATTTTCTTTACAAAATGATACTTAAATAAGACTTTTTGTTGGGACAAACATTTATTTATGAAACCAAGTGTTGGGCAATGGGCTATCCAGCTTTAAAGAGATCAGGAATTGTGTAAATGTCTATTTTTATACTGGGATCTAAACTAAAATTATTATTAGGAATTTAACTGCGACTTTACCTCAGCTTTATCTGGCTCAAAATGAGATAAAACATAACATTTTGCCTCTTAGTTTGCCTAGTGTAAAACGTTTTACTTTTTTATTATCATTTTCAGATTTTAGTGGAGAGATTTTATACTTGTTATTGATGCTAGAGTTTTTGTTTTATTTGAATAGCTATTGTTCACTTATCTTGTGCTGTGTGCTCCTCTTTCCTACTGTTCTAAAACTGGTGACGCAACACTGAAATTTCCCCACTGTGGGACAAATAAAGGATCTCTTAATCTGCATTCTAAAACAAATTGATTAACTGAAAGATGTATCATTGGATCAAACCAATCGTGAATTACTGCTCTCGAATCAAAGCAGGGCACAAAATGGAAATGGCGGGTGCTTCTTGCTCCAGCGTGAGGTCTCGGTCTGGAAAGTTCAGGGCAGTGTGGGTTGGGAAGGACCCATCCTGAAATGGACTCTCCCTCGTGGCGCACACATACCTTAGGGAGCCTATTTCTGGGACACTCTCGCGGAGCTGATAAAACTGGGGGGTGTGTGGTGGCATTGCAAAGGGACAGGGGGGCGGGCGTTAGGGCAGTTATGGAGGGGGTCGACCTGAGAGACATGTACGGACAGCTGTGTGCGAGTGACGGCTGCGTTCAAATCCAGACACTTACTTGTTCTCAAAGACAATCGTGAGGGAGTCGCTGTGGACATCTTTGATAAAACCCTGAAACGAAAAAGCAGAGAGACAAGTTTAGGTCAAATGACACGAGCTAAAGAGATATTACAACGTCAAATCAAACTGTGACGAGAGAGAAACACTGATTTTTGATCATTCACACAGGCTTTCGCTTTGCTTTGACACCACAACCAATAAGAATGTAAACGTTAAGGCAATAAGAGTTTAGACTGGAAATAATATGTGAGCTAGGGTTGTCAAAAGTATCAAAAATCAGACACTAAAACTAATTTGCGCAAGTACAGATGTTGAACATAAACTAGCTGGAGCAAATTTCTTTATATGGGCATTTGCACCTGTTGCTAAGACGGTTGCTAGGGCAAGCTGAGAGTTTCCCCAGTGAATAAGGGCGTCTGATTGGTTAATCCGTAGGTAAAGGTAGTAACAAAATGCAAACACCAGCATCACAGAGAGCACTAAACCACTGATTATTATAGGCCAAAATAGTGTGACAGAAGGTTACTGAGCTAGAGGTTTACTTTTCAATGTAAGCCAATAGGACCCAGAGTTGGAGCAAAACTTTGTCATTGAACTAGCAGTTGGCATTGTCCATCTATATACTGTCTATTAACAAAAACGTTTAAACTATAGTAGTATAGTATTGGCCCCATAAAAAAAACAGTAGAGTATTTATTATTGTATTATTGTAGATCACTGTGGTATTGAGATTGGTAAAGAGTATTTATTCCGTGATGTGAATTGAACGATGGTGATTATTTCTCAGACAGCTGGTTAAAACAACATTGTGTTTTTCAATGATGTGAATCCATCGTGAGAAAGTAGCAAAGGGAGCATCTCTGCCTGTTTGGAAACACATTTTCTGGCTGTGAAATGAGTGTTGAGGATGCTCCCAAACAGCACAGGCAGCCTACAAATCTGACACAAACACAAAATGACAAGATCTGTGTGTACTGCAGAAAAAGGATTCCCATTTCACAAGATAAGCTTTTAAGGAGCATTTAAAGCACAGGGGAGGGGCCGGCAAGGACGAAACCAGGCTCATGGTGTAACCAACGCCCCCAAGACTGAGATGTGAGCGTAAAGGAGGAAGGGGGGGGGGGGGCAAAAGTAAGAGCGGAACAGCCTTAAATGGGACATATACGAGTGTGCTTACTACTACAACACTTCAGTATGCTCCTTACGAATCAGACATGTTTGATTCAGATGCTTAATGGCTGCATAGGCTGAGAAAACCTGATAATACCAAGAGATGGTCACTAAACTGATTATATGTACGTATTTCAGAATCATTTTTATTGCCACGCAAGTAACAGGAAGTCACACACTAGGAAATTGCTTTGGCTCTCGGTGCAACAGTCAAAGAATAGAATAAACATGCACAAGATATAAACAATCCTTATACTTTTTATACTTGTACCTGGTTGTATGAAGCAAAAATCTGATATTAAACTAATAGTCTGGTATCGTATTAACAGTTTTATTCTTATGATATTCTGAAAAATACACTGGTTGTTTTTAATTTAACCAGTCCTTATATAAATGCCCTCAGTAATAAGCACAATGCTCCAAAAAGCCAGTACTGTGATTAGGATGTTGATTTTATGCCATAAATTGATACAGTAATGGTTTGTTCATGGTTTATTGTTATATTTCTTGATGGCAGCGGCATTTACAATCAAAGAATAAATTTCAACTGCTAAAAATTTTGTTAGAAAGTCCAAAACAAGTCCAAAACATTACATACATGAAATAAATTATGTTGTACTGTCTACCACGGTTTTATTTTGGTCAAGTCGAAACGCAGCAACACATTCGCCCATGTTTAACACAAACTATAACCCTAAGTAGCTTCGTGGCACATGGGTAGGGTCCTTAGAATCAGGGAAATCCACTATCTCTGTAACTGCTTTAAACAGAACTGCATGTTATTGGTACCAACTTCCCTGATCAACCAAAATCACAATTTCATAACTAATATTTTCTGAATTTGGACATGATTATCCCAACGTTGATGGGAAAAACATTGACCAGAAGAAGGGCTGAAACAATTGATAATTACCATTTCATTGCCTCAATTTTTGCAGAATATTTGTTCAAACATAACAAACCGAGCCATGGCACTTATTTCACTCCGAGCTGCTTCCACATGGCACTGGCACCGCACTGAAGGACACATGTCATATCAACCAGAAGCATCTCTGTTTTAACTATGATGAACCACATCTTGTCTATTACATGTCTAATATGCATTTATGGATGTTTTGAACAACGGTAATACAGAGGTAATAACTGATGTATTAACGTGCTTGAATTATGGAACCCACAGCCCTACATTTAGCCACCTATGTTCAGCTAGGTAGGTAAACATAGGCAGTTACGTTTAGCTACCTATGTGCTACCCACAATGACCTGTACACGCTCCCTGAAGAAGCACAAGCTCCTTCAACTCTTGTGGCCCCTTGTTACAAAACATGTAATCATTATATGTCACTTTGTAAAGTATATTAAGTTGAAAAAAAAAACAACAGAGTGAATACAATATAATGATAGAGTTATGTTGTGTTATAGCAAATGATTGAAGAGTTTATTTATGGTCAGGTTTGGGGACTCGAGTTCAACTTCCCAATAATCCCAAGATCTAGTCTGTTCCTGTTATATGTTGAGTTTATTATTTCACAAAACAAAACTTCTACATGATAAAGAGTGTTTCTCTTAACAAAGGTGTTATACCCTTGGTTTACCTTGCTTTTTCCATTTAGCTGTTATTTAGGCAAGAAAAATAATCAATATTTTGGCAAAAACATGCGAGCTAAACAAAACTTAAACACTGAATATATTTTTATTTTCTTGCAGTCTTTCTAACAATGTTTTCCTGATGCCACCCTATGAGACGTTAGATGGTACCATGGTTCTTAAGGGTACAAGAGAAGCACAATTGGAACGTCATCTCGTTTCAAAGATGATTGTGGCGTCGAGTCCACCACCAGCATGTCCACACTGAAAGGGTGCGAGATAACTGGAGTAATGGAGGAGTGGAAAGTGTTCATTCAGGCCAGAGCAAGTGTCACTTTGTAAACCAGTGTGACAGGTGAGCGGGGTAAATATAGGCCCATCTAAAAACTACCATGTGCTGCTGGGAGAGGAGTCGTGTGGTCTTCTAATGGTGACAGTTCTGAGGGACACATGTGCTGGGGCAAATGTAGTCATACAGACATTAAAGCATACAGGCTCAATGGACAGGACTTAGGAATACAGCACTGAGTCATTCTCTCTTCAGAGCAGGTGATTTAATAAAGCAGGCTTTTACGGTCAGGGGAAGCTGCATTAATAAAGACTATTGCAATATGTGGCAGTATTATTACTTAGTGGATTTATGAAAGGATATTCAATGCCCAATTATCAGAATAATCCATGTGTGTGTATGTGAGAGTGACTGGTTTCTATTATGAAAGAATAGAAACTGAAAGTGTGTTGACAGGAGGTAGTGCTGGTGTCTAAACTCCACGATGCTGATCTGAGCTATGCTGGGCTGAGGTGGGCCAGTAGACATGGGTCCAACAATGAGCTTGAAGCCCATGATGTGTGCGCAAAGACGAGGCAGGACAGCTGTCTGAGCTCCGGGAGAACTGGCTCCAGCCCACTCCAGAAAAGCAAAGTGTTTGTGTCTTAAGATAGACCTTTAGTGACGAGAACGAGAGGCATTCCACACTCCTGATAATCCAACACACTGTGGCACAGGGGTAATATGAAATATACGCCATAGACCGATGACAACTAGAGCTAGCTTTGGGCTAGCAGAGGTTAGCACCAGCCCTAACGGCCATCCCTGAGACCTCCACAGGGCTTCGGGAGAGCCGCAACAGAGCAGGCAAATTCCACAACAAAGTCCACATAACAAAACAATCTTGCTTAAATCATGACGTAAACTTTAGTTAGGCTTCACAAACAGCACAGGCAGGTTACCTTGTAGAAGGCCCCATTGGAGCCTCGCACTTCCACGGCCAGTCCGTCCATGCCTGTCGGTGTGTCCGCTCGCTGAGTGTCTGGGGCCGGTGTGACTCCCTGTGCCACCCCCAGCTTCGCCGGCCCTTCGCCGTTCTCCGGCCGCTTGTGGATTTCCAGTGTTTCGGGTGGTGGGGCAGGGGCAGAGGTGAAGGGGCTGGGGAGATGGGTGTGATGGTGTCAACGCAACACAGACTGTGCCGCGTCCAGGAGCTGTTGGTCCGAGTCAACAGAGACGATATCCAGCACTACGAGCCACGGTCATCCGCTATCGAGGCTACACACTGGGGCTATCGAGGCTACACACTGGGGCTAGCAAATGGGCACTTAGCTGCGAGGCTAGCTGCTCACAAAACCCAGTCCGTCAGTTTTCAGAGATGCTAAGTGGCTAGTAGATGATAGCACAGCAGCGTTTATGGAATATGCCTGTGGCGCAGTTGTGACGTGAAAATAGTATCACATAAGTTGTCACCAGGAGTCGTTTCTTTAGTCGGTGGAGTAAAAGACTTGTTTCTCTGGAAAAGGCGTAGTGATGAACTACCACCCGGCGACTCCTTTACTCCAACTACCCGTCCCCACAAACACGCGATAGAGTGAATCAGAGAGGGACTGAATGACCTCCAGCGGACCGCCCCTGTGCACGTAAACCCGCCTCTCTACCCTTCGCGGGCTTTGATTGGACACAAGCCACGTCAATCACATGGGACTGCTTCTCATTGGTGCATCGACCGAGGGATGGTTCCGGAGTCTGGCCAGTAGAAGCAGGTGAGTCTCATCCATGTGCAGTCCATTCGTCTGGTCTGGCGTCAGTTACAGCGCTACACACATTGACTGGCTCCCATCTCCAGTTTTTGCTCTCATTGATGAGTGAGGACCATTGTGTAAACACTAGTAGTAGAGTAAAGTACGATTTGGGTTTTATTCTAATGTTCATTCACGTTCACCCGTTCCATTACACATAATTTACTCGTTCATACAAACATAGACTATCCTCACGTATTTCTGTTAAAACATCCATAAAGGTAAATATAACCCTGTATATTTGCTGTGGTTCTCAATCTCATGTCTCCACAAATTGGCTCCTCCTCGTTGTTTGGTATATAACTGTTTATTCTGTAGTAATTATCCTGCAATGTATGAGATAAATGATTGGAACCTTAAAAATCATGTTCAAGTTTTCTTTGAGAGATGATCTGGGCATGTGCCACTGGGAGTAGACCCTGTGGAAAAGTGAGGAGGGATATTGAGGTGAGGTATCTTTCTGCTAATCTGGAGGCAGTGAGGGTAGATATAAGTCCGGGCATGATTTCTATTGCCACTGAGGCCCTGTCCTGGAGGAAATGAATAGAATCAAGATCACAACATTTATGACACAGTGGAACTTTGAAGCCGTACCAATAATACATTATTGGTCACAAAAAATTAGCAAAACATTTTCAGTAGCAGAGTGAATGAGGTGAACAGGAGGCAGCAGGCTTGTGGTCCAGATAAGGTATGGGCTCTATGGATTCAAACAGCTGAGGGGACAACACATGTGTGAGAGGGCAGAGGTCAGAGCTACAGAAATATTCATGCTTCTGTCACAAGGGCTTTTCTTAATGCTGCTTTTTCTAAGACAATAATGCATTCATTGCCTATAATTCTCATAACTAAAGCTCAAAAACATGCATGATCACAATCAATCATTATTTCAGTGCAACAGCCACTATCTTTATCTAGTAATCCTAAAACAATGCTTTCTTACGGTCCCCTTGAAATATTACAATGTCAAAGTTCCGTTAAGGTGAGTTTAGTAAAATATACTCTAAAAGGAAAACAAAATTAAAACTATCTTATTTTTTGGTTGGATTTTTACCTAATTTTTTCTAGTGTAATTAAAATAATCTTTTTTTTCTTGTATGTAGCTGTATCATACTGTATGTTGTTTACTTTTGTGTAATAGAAAATACACCGTAACCATGGTTCTAAGATTCAAAAATCAGATTTATGTTTGGGTCATAGACAAAAATGTATGGCTGCAGTTTCACCGTTCTACCAGAGGGGGCAGCAGAGCACCCAAAAGGAAGCGGAAACAAAATTAACCAATGGGAACGCTTTCAGTCCGCGGCGCGAGGCTCGAGTCAGGAAGTTGTCTGTTTATGTTTAACAGAAACTCAAAAGTTTCCTTTGTAAAATATTTAGAGTGTTTTTTATTTGGTATTGCTCTGATAATGTCTCACCCAGAGTTAACTAGCAGCATGTCTTTTGGAAAAGGGGATATTTTACACCAGCAGGGTACGTGCATTATTATCTATTAAAACCAGTTTCCGTGGATTCTTTCAGGGTTTGGAGTTATTGCTTGGAAAATTCGACACAAATAATTTTCCTAGTAAATATTTATGCGTTGAATTCTGGACGTTGATTATCCTCCTCCCCATGGACTAATGACTAATGTTGTAGCATTTCTTGTGTTTGATTCTCTAATCCTCTGTTTTTCTTTTTTTTTCTTTGTTCAAATAAACATTCATTCATTCTCTGATCTGTTGTTGGTGAACTTTGTAAAGTCCTCTGATACTACTACTAGACTAGACTACTGTTGTGATTTATCGATATACACATTTATTTAGACTTTGTTAGGGACTCATGCAGGCACGGATCCATAGCTAACGGATGGATGATGGAATTTGAAAGAATATATTACAACATAGAATAGACTTTTTTGTATTCGGCGCCATTACCCTGTGGTTATACTTTGTCTGTGTCAGATCTTCTCTAATGCATGTATCTGTTGTATTCACAGTTCTTGGGTCTTTCCCTCTGTGTGACTTGACTGAGGAGGATCTGTGTCAGAATCCTCAGTTCTGTAAACTCATGGCCACTCTGACCCAGCACGTGGACAGCACTGGACTCACACTATCACTCAAGACAGAGCTGGACAAGGTATGTAATGATTGATGGTTGCCACCAGCACTCTTTGCAGCCTTTAAGAATTATTAATGATGCACTCACTATAAAAAAAAAAAACATATGAGATAGGGTTAGGAGCTCAGCCACACGGCAGGAGCTCAGAGTAGAGCCGCTGCTTCTCCACGTCGAGAGGAGTCAGTCGAGGTGGCGGGGGTATCTGATTGGGATGCCTCAAATCAATATCTCTCTGGGGAGGTGTTCTCAGCTGGCCTGGGGAACGCCTTGGGATTCCCCCAGATGAGCTGGAGGAAGTGTGTGTGGAGAGGGAAGTCTGGGTGTCTCTGCTTAGACTGGCAACGGATAAGGCAGAAGAAAATGAATGAATGTAAAACTACATTGCAGAGATTTCAAATGCTCATCTTTAGTAAGCAACCACAGTCATGACTATTGTAGTTTCATAACTTTAGTAAATGTTTGAAAAGTTTTTTGTGGAAATATATAATAATAATAATAATAATAATAGTTACAGATACACTGAAGATTTTGTGAATTAATCTGTTGTTGATTATTCTTTATTCCATAGAAATCGGCTGATCTTTAAACTTTTCAAACTTTAATTATTCATAAGAATTCTACCTGATTAGTTTCCAATGAGTAAATGTGTGTTCAGGCCGAGCAGAGGCTGCAGAGCCAGAAGAGGAACTGGCTCCGTTCACAAGGTCTGTTCCAGTCTCTGAAGGAGATGATCCAGGAGCACTGTGTGAGGAAGCACTACGCCACTGTCCCACCGGACCAGAACATGGTACACACACTACACACTCATGTATAAAACACTGTTTGTTCTTATCTACACACACTACACACTCATGTATACATCACTGTTTTCATCTACACACACTACACACTTATGTATACAACACTGTTTGTTCTTATCTACACACACTACACACTCATGTATACAACACTGTTTGTTCTTATCTACACACACTACACACTCATGTATACAACACTATGTTTGTTTTCATCTACACACACTACACACTTATGTATACAACACTGTTTGTTCTTATCTACACACACTACACACTCATGTATACAACACTGTTTGTTCTTATCTACACACACTACACACTCATGTATACAACACTATGTTTGTTCTCATCTACACACACTACACACTCTTGTATACAACATTACAAGTTAATTTATCTACACACCCTGCATATTGTTCCTGTTTCGCAAAATCAAGGCTTTCAATAAAATTCAATGCAATAATTTCTTCTTCTCATTTGGATTTCTCTCGTAACTTGTACTTTTTCTCTGGTGCAGTTCTACGAGACGCTGGAAAAGTGTCTCCTGGTGACGCAGTGTGTTCGCATGTTAGATCCCAGCGACACCACTGAGAAGGAGCTGCCCAACGTCCTGGGTCTGCGGCCGGAGCAGGTGCTGCAGCTCATGCCTCCCGACAAGGTAAGCCAACATTTGAATGTATTTGGTTACTGTGTAGTTTAGGGATGGGCGATATTAAATCAAGCTGGTGGTAATATCTGTCACGGTGGTAAAATGAAAAGAAGCCAAAACGCAGGACTGCCAAAACATAACTGATTTAATGAAGGAAATGACAATTTAAACAGGGGACGAGGACAAGAGAGACATCAGATTGACAATAACAGAACAGGATTTAAATACACAAGAGTAACAAGACACAAGAAAAACATATGAGAGCAGAACACAAGAGGTAGTAGAACTAAAGATTCAGATTCATTTATTTGCCATTTGCAGTAAAACCACATTGGAAAAACTGTGCAAGACTACCCCGGTGTGCACCAGACGACACACACCAGAGCTCTTGCCACGGCGCCATCTTTACTGCGCCATGCGACACAGGGAAGTTACACAGGGACACAGGGAAGTTACAAAACAAAACAGGAAATAACCATGACAAATATTTGCATAATTCAGGGGGGCAGCCTATGCTCTGGTTAATGATGACTGTTGTGGCCAGATACATTTAAGCTGGAGTATTTTACCTTTGTTGTTTTGTTTCATAAATCCATGTTGTTTGTCCGTACGGAAAAGTCTATGTTTCCTCAACCATTTGGTGGATCACATTTTAAGTCTACTTGAAGCTTGGACTGAAATATACCTCATTGAGGCATCTCTTTCAGAGAGACACCAGAGGGAGACCAGAGGGAGACCAGAGGGAGACCAGAGGGAGACCAGAGGGAGACCAGAGGGAGACCAGAGAGAGACCAGAGAGAGACCAGAGAGAGACCAGAGAGAGACCAGAGAGAGACCAGAGAGAGACCAGAGAGAGACCAGAGAGAGACCAGAGAGAGACCAGAGAGAGACCAGAGAGAGACCAGAGAGAGACCAGAGAGAGACCAGAGAGAGACCAGAGAGAGACCAGAGAGAGACCAGAGAGAGACCAGAGAGAGACCAGAGAGAGACCAGAGAGAGACCAGAGAGGGAGAGACCAGAGAGGGAGAGACCAGAGAGGGAGAAACCAGAGAGGGAGAGACCAGAGAGGGAGAAACCAGAGAGGGAGACCTGTACCTATGTAAAGCATCTTTGAGTGTCCAAAAAGTGGTGGCAATGTATTAATGTTAGTATCTTTTATTTTGGTTTGATATTTATTTGGTTTAGAATTGTATTGCATAATACTAAATTCATTTTTGTGTTTTGTTATTACACCTTAATACACAGTTGTGAAGCTCAATGTGTGTACTCGAGAAACCGTGTACAGCGTTGTCATTAAGGATCTGCTATTATTATTAGTATTATCATCATCACCTCCAGACTTAATTACTGCCACAGCCTCCTCTTCGGTCTCCCTTACACTCGTATCCAAAAACTGCAATACATCCAGAACTCTGCTGCCCGCCTGCTCACTCATACTCTCTCCAGGGACCACATCACCCCCGTCCTCAAACAACTCCACTGGCTCCCTGTCCCGTTCCGCATCCAGTACAAGGTCCTCCTCCTCCTCATCTACAAGTCCCTCCATAAAATGCTCCATCTTACCTCTCTGACCTCCTCCATCATCAGTGTCCCTCACTAAACACCTCAGGACCAAACACTGAACCCTGAGGCACCGAGCCTTCGCTGCCGCAGCTGCCCCCACTCTCTGGAACTCACTCCCACAACCATCAGAAACACCCACTCACTACAGAACTTCAAATCACTTCTCAAAACCCACACATAACTGTTTATTTTCAGCGTCTTGAGTGTCCAAAAAGCGCTTAATAAGTATGATGTAGTATTAATGTAATTGTATTATTCAGGAACTTACTCTTACCTGTTTTTTTTAGAACGTGCAGAGAATGAAACAAGGTCTTTCTTATGAGCTGGAGAAACATCTGAAGAAGAAGTGTCTAAGTCTGCTCTGTTACTGTCATCCTGAGTGGGGTCAGGATTTATTATTTATTATTTATTAACTGATAACAATTCAACATCTTCCCGAACTCACTTTGTTTGTTTATTGCACTGTTTATGATGAAGAAAGAGAAAGTGAAAACCTGAAATGTACTAAACTGTTGCACCTGGCAAAGCAACTGGAGACGGACAGAAAGAGCGCAGAGAACCTGAAGGAGAGCAGTCGAGAGAAGAGCTTCCTGCTTCAGCGACAGTCTCAGCTTTATCTCTCAGTGAGTAAACTGCCTCACTATACAGATTCAGATTCATTTATTTGCCATTTGCAGTAAAACCACATTGGAATACATTTTTAAAAGTCCCCAGTGTGCACAAGACAAGTACATACATAAAACAACATTAAAAATACAGAGATAAAACAAATAACAGTAACATTTGTCACTGTGAATCAACTAAAACAGGTTCAATACAAAGATCATTAAAGTGCTCTGTTCAAACTGATAACAGCTTGTGGGAAGAAGCTGTTAGCATGTTAGCATATCGAAATGTCCTGCATCTCAGAGAACGATATCTTCTGCTCGAGGGAAGAAGCTGGAACATGGTTTTCCCAGGGTGGCCAGGAGAGTCATTGATTATTCTAAGAGCTCTGTTTAAAAGTCTGGATTTATAAACAACCTCCAGAACAGGAAGCTCACAGCTCACAGTCAACTCTCTGGTCTCTCTCTCTGGTCTCTCTCTCTCTGGTCTCTCTCTCTCTGGTCTCTCTCTCTCTGGTCTCTCTCTGGTCAAGCAAACTCAAGGGTGCAGCTATAAAAGTTAAGCAGAATCTTAGAGTTAGTGGTAAATTCTCTAAGTTTTTCGCAGAAAGTAGAGACACTGACGAGCTTTCTTACTTTCATACTATAATTGCATTTGTATCTTTTTAGATTACAGCCTCGTTCATTACTTTTACAACAAGTCAGAAAATTAATTGGTATTGGTGCTGACAAACACCAGGGTTGGATTTCCTGGGATCAGCCATACCAGCAGAACTGTTGGTTTATTATTGTTTTATGTGTCTGTCTCTTTTAAGCTGAACTAAGAGTCTGTAATAACATTTAAATAGAAATAGCCTCAATTAATTTTGTTTTAAGTGATATATATTTAAACAAATTTACAAAATTCAAACATCTTATAATTGGCTTTTGGCATTTGTTTTTTCTAACACTCCTTTTTCTAACCTGTTTTCTCCAGGAGATGATTAAATGCATTAAACATCTACAAACTCTGATCCTGGATCACAGACTGAAGATTCAGACAGAGTTGGACAAGAAAATGTTGGACTACTTTGAAGGCAAATGTGAACTAGTCCTACAAAAGATTAAGTGAGTTTGTTGATTATATGAGCACAGTTTCTACATATTATGAATAGAAATTGTAGAAAATGTTAATTATTTTTGTTTGAAGAACTGAGATGGTTGACATTCAGCTGGACACGTACAAACCAGACACAATATCTGCCCACAGGAAAATAAGGTATTTATAAGTTTGAGAACACTATATTGAGCCCATGCGTCTCTTAACGGTCTTGTTATTGTTCCAGAGAGAAATTGGAGGCAGAGTTAAAGTGTTGTCAGGAGGAGAAGCAGTCTGTGAAGGTCAAACTTTCTTCTTTTGAGCTTTTGGGAAAAGAGTTCCAGGCCCTGGCTGAAGAGTACGGCAGATTACGACAGGAGATTGATATGAAAAACTGGGCACTGAAAGAGTTTGCACATTATAAAAGCAAATGAAGAAATGTAGAGCCGATTCGAGCGCTTACTGTAATGTTTTACCGCTCTCCTCCTCTCCACCGGTCAGGACGTGATTAGCAATACATGTGTGTTTATACAATTCTATTCTATTTTGTTTTCACCTAATGGAAAACTTCTGGTTAAGGTGTGGTTCGAACGATTTAAAACATGTTACAAACCATTAGCGCTGTGGTGTGAAGGTGATGGATACGTTTTTTAAGAGTGATTACATCCGGCCATCTATTGGCCGTTGCCGTGATAGGGCGGTCTGAGGAGAGATGCCCACACTTCTCTATCCAAACACTCTTCCTAGAGCTCATCTGGGGGAGTGCAGGGGCGTTGATAAGCCAACTGTGGGACATAATCCCTCCAACATGTCCTGGGTCTTCTCCAGGGCCTCCTCTTGGTGGGATATGCTGCCATAGAGCCGTAGTCTTAAAAACAGGCCATGGCCTGTAGATGGCGGTAAAATAACATCTACTTCTAATCATCTAATAACTGTTTTCTTTCCCTTCTTTTCGTTCACGTTGCCGTGATTGTCTACCTACCAATTGGAATGATTAATAAAATGCATTATGACCTGTATTGTATTTTTTTGTTTTACTTTATATACAATACGTAAAAATCATTGAACAATAACTAGATTATATGTCATTATCCATAGAGCTATATGTAATAATCAACGGGTTATTGAAAGTGTAAGCCTCGAACTAATCCATATCGGCTGATTTTATTTATATAATTTATTGTCCTATTTCCGCGTTGTTCACATACATGATGTGTCATCTGTCAGCATCATCATTGAGGATCTTTGTTCGTCCCTTTTCACTGTTTCGAATCAAAAAGTTGTGCCATATTTATGCACATGAAGACAAACAGGCAGAAATAAGACCCAACAGACTCCCAAAGCACAAACAATGTGTAGACATAACATTTAAAAAGACAATAAATAACTGATGATCAATACAGGAGTGGTACCTCTTCTTTTCATCCTCGCAGAAGCAGCTGCATAATTTATTTCCCAAATCAGTTATCCTACAAACGGTTATTTTTTACGGTGATTATTCCATCAAAATTAGTTATTCTAAAATTGTGTACGTTATAATGTGAGAAACCACTATTTTAGGTGTAACAACAGTTAATTATTTGAAGCTAAGGCATCTGCTGAATGACATGTCTAACGGTTCTTATTGAGATATTGCGCTGGGTAAAAACATCCGAACCCCGCCCCCTCCTCCTCGCGCCTCCACCAGCAGCAGCCCCAGCATCTGTGAACTACCCGTGTCTGGAAGTGTCACAGCCCTCTCCCCGTGTGCTACCACGGCATGCTCCTCTCCTGTCCGCCACACCGGCCCGGACACCGCTTCACTGGATTATTTCACCATGTCGGAGGTTCGCAAATTCACCAAGAGACTGAGCAAGCCCGGGACCGCAGCGGAGGTCCGGCAGAGCGTGTCCGAAGCCGTGAGGAGCACAGTGGAGCTGGTGGTAAGGATAATAAAGTATAAATGATATCAATATAATTGTGTATATTTTACTCAATACACTGGGAATCCCAGAAACATAACCATTCTATCCTATATTACTTGAAACAATAGCGGAAAAGTATGTATTTTTATTTACAAATATTTATCACATCTATTCTCTGCAATCTGAAAAGGTCAATATATTTTTTTTTACACCCAGACACATTTTTCACAAGGAATTTCAGTCTTTAAATACCCCAAACAGTAATAATAGGCTTGTGTATGTCGTCTATCTATGTTGACTAATTATAAGGTAGTAGTGAAGGTTTCTCTATAACCATATGCGTACAACGTGGTCTGTTCTGCACTATTACCCAGCGCTATGAATGCACCAAGCTAACTATGTGAACTGATTTCCATCCCTCCAGTCTTGTCCTCTGCGAGTTCTTTTGTGTGTGTAGAGCAAGTAGCAGTGCCAGTCGGGACAGCTGCAATGTGAGGATGCATGGCCCTAATGTCTGAGTTATGCAGGCTGGAGAAATCCCTGCAAGTAGCTGCATTGTGTGATCAAATTAATGGTTTGGATGGCTGGGACTATGAAAGTAGTGGTGGAGAGACTGTGGATATGGTAAAGCAGATTGTGGGTGTAGGTTTGGACCAGTTTGGAGTTGTATTAATTAGATTAGGCTGAGTTATTTTTGCTGAATGTGCTAATGTTTGGTCAAGTTGAGTTCCTCCTAAATGCTTGTAGTAATGTAAGTTTCGAAAGAAGGGAGGTTGCTCAGAAGCATACAAAAACTAAAAATGGTGTTATTGTTTTATGGAATACACAGATATTGTGTGTTGATGTTTGTTATCGGAATAATTCCATGTATTAAGCATCTGTCTGGGGTCAGTGACACATAGATCTATAAGTATAATCTATAATAATGAAAAATGTGCCACTTTTCAATAACTACATTTTAATTACATCTATTCAAGGCAGAAGTTTATTTGTTTAGCACAGTTCATACACAAGGCAACTCAAAGTGTTGAATAAAGCAAGAAAATAAATATTAAAGTTACACAAGACATACATAAATTATTCGCTAAACAGAACTGTTTTTAACCTTTTCAGGAAGACTGTTCCAAATTATAGCTGGAATCTGATACACTGCCTCCTCATGTTTAGTCCTGACTCTGGCACAAGCAGGCCAGTCCCTGTGCTCCTGAGAGTCCCAGCAGGAGGCCAGTAGTAAGCAGTAGTAGTAAGCTTTATTTATATACCGCCTTTTCCCTGCACTCGGAGTCTCAAAGCGGTTTACAACTGTTATTTTTGGGAGTGGGGGTGCCATTACAGGAGGCACATGCCAGACCTATTGTACATATTTTTACTGGTAGGGGAAACCGGAGCACCCAGAGGAAACCTACGCAGACACGGGGAGAACATGCAAACTCCACTCAGAAAGGACCTTCTTGCTGAGAGGCGAGAGTGCTATCCACTCAGCCACCGTGCCGCCCACCAGTCCCTGTGCTCCTGAGAGTCCCAGCAGGAGGCCAGTACCTGTGTCTGAGTTGGTTTATATGCCACTAACATGTCACAGATTCAAATCATGCACAGTATAATTGCCTCTGACTAAAAGTTTTTAGTTTACAAAGTAAAATTGTGGGAAATGTTTTTGCTTATCATTCAAATATTAATTAATTTCTGTTAAGATGCTGAACGAACATTTAGTCACTTACATATTTAAACATTTACAGATGTGTATCAAAACTGTTTCAATGGAGGACCTTTTATTGCCCCCCAAAAGTAGAGTTTTGTAATCGTCTGAAAACTACTGGCTGAATGAAATGAAAGGAAACCCCTGTTCAAATTTCAAAAGGACCAGGAATGTTGGTGGGGTATGTGATCTCCGAGTGCTTGTTCAAGTTGATGCTTTTGACAACACTTTTTGACCTCTCTCAATTCATTGTAAAACTGTGTCTCTCATTAGCTGTTGCTTGGTTCCATTTACACAAAATGATACAAGTTTGTGACGTTCAAGCATGTGTCATACAAAACAATTCAACTTTTAATTTTTAAATTAAGCCTTGTTTCCACCAGCCCTACTTGGCCCTACTCTACTCTACTCTACCCGGATTAGGAGCATTTTCACCGACTGTCTAAGATAAGAAAAGATGAACTCACACTGGAGAAATGTACATGTCACATTTGGCACAGATAGAATCATTACCAGTACCAATTACTTTTGTGGTATCTGCTTGGCCCTGGTTCTAACCTGGCAAAGCTGGTACCAAAATGTTCTGGCAAAATCTTGACTAGATTGACCAGAGAGCTACTGGAAGCCATAGCTACTTAGGAATTTCCCTGAATACTGGTTTGATGTGGGTTGGTTTTCTAGGTTTTTATATGGTACTAGATACTAAAACGCAATGGAAACACAACCAGGTAGAGCCGAACCGAGTAGAACCGAGTTGGGCTGGTGAAATCTTGGCTACAGTCTCAAAATTGTGACGTCCTCTGTGTGATTACATTCCTACATAATTTACTCTCTGCTTTGTACTTTTCTGTCCCTAATCCTGTGTTTTTTAAGCTTGGCCATTTTTCCCCCGAGGCCTCCGGTCCCATGATGCTCATCTCTAAAACTGTGACGCATCAGGGCTGTGTTTGCAAAGCGGCCCCAGTATTCCACCGAGCTACACGTGTAGAACCAGAACTGTTGAGGCCTCAGCAGGGGGTCAGAACGGCAGGAGCGGAAATGGCAGAACAAGCGGCGTGTTTGTCGTTGAGATAATATGGTCATCTGTGTCGGTGGGATTCCCTCAGGCACGCAGCACCCAGACGTCCAATAACATGCCTCGGTTTTGTCTTATCCACGTACAAAGACCTCCAAGTTTACCGTATCACGTCACGGTTGTTGATAGCCCTGTGTTACAGAGAAGCTAATTTTTGTTTAATATGTATTATGGGGGTAGGATTAAATAAGTTTTCTGGAAACTAAGATGGACAAGAGGTGACTTGTGCCCAATATGAAATGCCTGAAATGAATAAATAAACAAACAAACAAAACTTGGAAGTTATGAACTACTAGTGAGTAAATCTTCTGCCATGTCCAAACTCAGCGGTGTCCAAACATTTTAGCAAGAGGGCCACTTTAGTTCATCAGTCTTGACCCTGGACTTAAAAACTGGATTTGAGCTGGATTGACTGGAATCTGGAATTCAATATGGGTTATGACACGTCCCTATTGATTCACAGAGAGTCTGAGATTTACAACAAGGTATAGCATGACTGTATCGGTGGAGCTGAAGTTGGTTGGATGACACTGTTAAAAGGCCTCAATGGCTATTTTGTGTTTGCAGCCAAGGGCCACATAAAATGGCACAGAGAACCACTATTGGCTGAGTTTGGACCTGCCTGCATTAGGCCATTCTGAAACATGTAGGTGCCTTGTGCTATCCTCTGGTCAGATTTACCAGATATACCCTAACTAAAACATTTTAAGGTGAATTTTCATTATATTTTCTACCTAGACCTGCCCTTAGTCATTTATACCCTTTTAGACTATAATTTAGATATTTCTATTAGACTTTTAGTAATCTGTGGTGGGTAATTTAGACCCAAGGGTTAGCACAAGTGTTAGATATGATACAGATATGATATTGCTGTTTTTTCTTCTTCTATGGAAGCAGCTTTGTCAAATCAAAATAAAATCATTGGGGTTGCAAAAAATTTTATAGTTAAATCTTTAGAATTTTGTTTGTCAGCAAAGGATAAGTTTTAAGTCCTCTTGGTCTCTCTCAATTATTGGTCTTTAAAAGTGAATGTTCTTGTCATCTTTGCTTCTATGTGTTCATTTTCTGATCTACCCTAAGAACCCACTCCAAAAAGCTTGTTGGAATTGTTTTAAAATGTGTTTAGTGTGAGAAAGATCTCTCTTTCCTCCGGGGCCCCCATATCTATCACACCTTATATCAGGCATGTCCAAACTCAGGCCCACGAGCCAAATGCAGCCCTCTGTGTCATTTTATGTGGCCCTCTGCTGCTAACACAAAATCGCCATTGAGGCACTTTGACAGTGTCATCCACCCAACTTCAGCTCCACCAACACAGTCATGCTACACCTTGTTGTAAATCTGAGATCCTCTGGAATCTATTTTTATTTACTGACATTTGTTTTATGATTTTGTCACAACATTCCAAATAAAATGCAGCTGTGGTGGGAATAAGGACCTATCATAACACATTTTAAATTCCAGAATCCGGGCATCAATCCAGCTCAAATCCAGTTTTTTAAATCCAGGTTTTTGGCCACAGGTCAAGTCTGATGAACTGGAAGTGGCCATCTTGCTAAAAAGTTTGTACAGCCCTGCCTTATGTTGAAAAATGTTTAATGCTTTTACTTTTGAAGCCCTAAAAACGCATGACATAAGTTGTAAAAAGTGTACTATTTTGGTTTCTATGGTGTAATAATTTGGTTACTATGGTGAACTATTTTGGTTATTATGGTGAACTATTTTGGTTACTATGGTTTACTATTTTGGTTACTACGGTGAACTATTTTGATTACCATGGTGAACTTTTTTGGTTACTATGGTGAACTTTTTTGGTTACTATGGTGAACTATTTTGGTTACTATGGTGAACTATTTGGGTTTCTATGGTGAACTGTTTTGGTTACTATGGTGAACTATTTTGGTTACTATGGTGAACTATTATGGTTACTATGGTGAACTATTTTGGTTACTATGGTGAACTATTATGGTTACTATGGTGAACTATTTTGGTTACTATGGTGAACTATTATGGTTACTATGGTGAACTATTATGGTTACTATGGTGAACTATTTTGGTTACTATGGTGAACTATTTTGGTTACTATGGTGAACTATTATGGTTACTATGGTGTACTATTTTGGTTACTATGGTGAACTATTTTGGTTTCTATGGTGAATTGTTTGGGTTTCTATGGTGAACTATTTTGGTTTCTATGGTGAACTATTTTGGTTACTATGGTGAACTATTTTGCCTACATGCCAGTCA